AGCTTCATTTCTTTAAAATTTCTGTAGTATTTTTCAAACTGTTGTTAATTAACTTTACCACTAGGGAAATGAATGAATGAATCTATGCTTTTTATTTTTCTTTAATTCCTGTCCGTTCTCTCTTAGGGCCAAGCTGGATAACAATGAAAGGTTGCTTGATTTTGTTCTCAAGTTGGAGGCTTCATGCATCGGAACTGTGGAGGCAGGAGCAATGACCAAGGATCTTGCCATTTTGACCCATGGCCCGAGGTAAGTGGCAATGTGCTTGTATATCATGTTCTTGTCCACATAATTTATTGGCTGGATCATTTTTGTTCATCTCTGTAAGTTCAATTTTTGGAAATTCCAGTATTCAACAGAATCACCCTAGTTGGTCATGTAACTAATAATAAGAAGTGAATTACTGATACATACTGTGGAGACCGAATGTTTCTGATGACGCGGGTGAAGGATTTGGCTCAGGTTCATGTAAACCTTCAAAAAAAAAAAATGAATGATTCTAAAACTTCTATAGAACATGTATCAGTAATTCAGTTCTTATTATTAGGTGCATGACCATGTAGGGTGATTCTGTTGTGAATCTTTTTCTGGAATTTCAGTTAGCATGTAAACCTTCATGACTGGATTTTGACTTCTGAAGCCAGTTGATAATTTATTTTATTCCGACCCATCCAACTCCTCTTTTATCCAAGAAATGGTACCATGAGGCTTTCTTTCCTTTCTTTCACTTCCAGTTTTAGGAGCCCTCTACTTCACATGTTTAAATCTGGAAAAAAAAAAACAGTTGGTGATTTCATGTAAAAGTACACTGTTTGGTTCCAGTGCTGGAGTGGTTGTAATTGAATCAGTCAGAACAAGTGGCCTCCAGTCTTTCAAACATTATATGGAGCATTTTCCCCTTCAAAACTTTTAGTATGATGATTTTTTCATGCCTTGTTAAGAAAGTTATACTCCTAGTTACTGAGATACTGTTGATGCATGCAGGGTATCAAGGGAATTTTATCTTAATACTGAAGAGTTTATCGATGCCGTTGCACGAAATCTAGAAACAAAGCTTCAGGAGCCAGCTGTTGTCTAAGCGGAGAGTGTTATCATGCGGTGGTAATATGAGATTCTGAGGATGGGGATAAAATTGCATATACCACATACTCTTTTAATTGTTTTGATCATCATAGTAGATGCAATTTTCACAGCATTACATAAAGGGTCAATTTCAATTTATCTCTGGAAGTTTTCCCTTTGGGGTTTGATGATACGAATGTCTCACTGCAAACTCTTAATGTTATGCAGTGTTCATTTTATTGATCCCAGGGGAAGGGGAATATGCGCAATGTTAGATCCATATCCAATTTAGGTTATTGAGTGAATTTTTTTTTTTCCCCAAAGAAAACAATCTGAGAGGGTATTATCTGCGTAAGACCAGTGCCATGTCTGTGCTCCACGTATTGATGTCTAGGCATCAAAGAACTGCATCTGCTACCCCAGTTTCTCCAAGAAAAAAAACCATTAACGAGCTTCGATGTTGATTGAGATGCGATTTCTTGAAAATCTGAAAGAGGGCGGGGTTGAAAAATTTGTGATTTTAAATCTTCTTTGACATGCAATTTATCAAAGAATGGTTGAGCACTTGTGAGATTCCAAGCCATCTATAAAACTTGGGATATTTTTTTTGAAAATTAGCACTTTATTTTTCAAGAAAAGTGGCAAGATAAAACAATTTGTAAAAAGAGATTGGCGTAAAAACATAGTTTGTACATGTTGATTAGAGAAGAGAAAAAAACAGACAAAAAAGGAAGAGACTTTGAATGCACAATGAATGAAGCTATGAGTACAACATTATATGATTATACATTATTAATATTAACAAAAATATCATATGATTATACATTATTAATATTATCAAAAATATCTTGATAAGAAGAATTTAATGAAACTAAAATGTTACTAATGATGTAAAATGTGCTACACTTACTTCTCAGAGATGATGGATAGCTTGCTTGTATTTGATAACAAGTATAGTTCATAGTATTGTTAATGGTCTTTTTAGTATTATTATATTTATTTCAATGAGATTTTTTTAATGGTAACAGTAGTGTCATAATTAAAATTTTGATATGTATTTGAGGTTTTTTTTTTTAAAATAATAACTCGTGTAATCTATTTTATAATTTTTTTAAAATATTATGTTTTCTAACAAAATTAAATTTTAAAATTGTTTTGTTGTGATTTTAGTTCTCTCTCTTCATCATAATTTGTGCAATTCATTTCACAATTCATTTAAAATGTTGCGTTTAAAAACAATATTAAATTTAAAAGTCTCATTTCTACTCATTGTAACTTATAAAGCTCATTTCACAATTTAGTTATGTTTTTGAACAACATGAAATTTGAATGTCTAATCACAACATATATAAGCTGTTATGTCACATCAATTTTTTTATACCATATTATTTATTTTAACATAAAAAAAATCATGTTAACAAGCAAAAATAACCATAGGGCTAACGATCTAAAAGTACTTGGATTCCCTTCAAATATCTAATCTATTATTTTTTGCCTTCCCTTTCCCCTTCAAATATCTAATCTATTATTTTTTTTGCTTTCGCTCGAGGCTCACGAATAGAGTCCTCTGGGAAACTTTGCCTTGCCTTCAAATATCTAGTCTTCGAAGAGATGGCTATCCCCATGCCCAATCTGGTTGTTAAATCATAAATGTTGAGGTAAGCGACAAGCTTGGTGCCGGCGTGAAAGCTTGTATCAAAAGACTTGAATTAAAATCTGGCCTAACACGTGGACCAAGAGATTCCAGTCATTATAAATGACATCAAATGGAGAGAGAAGACTTTCTTGTTTCAAATTGCCAAATGGAACGTGTCCATGCTATGCCGACAATGTTTTAAATCCTGATATGACTCCTTATCTTCAAATTTCTTGTCTGACACTCTGCGGATGACATTTGTAGGAAACTTTTGTCCTAGAGAGAGACGACCGGAGGAAGCAAGTCTATGGAGCGTTTCTTTGAGAGGTTGTATCTGTGTTTTATTTAAAATATAAATGTAATTTATTTGATAAAAGGATATAATTTATTATTTATGCTCTCGTAATATTTTTTTGTAAACAAAAAGCAGAGGAAAGAAAGTAATTAATTACTTATTGTTTAGGCTAATTGCATTAAAAAAAGAAATTAATTAGCATTTTATTTGTGTTAATTATATTGTTTAGTGAATAATATAATTAATATAAATAGTATAACATAGTAAAAAATGTTATACTGTTCTGGTTAGATGGGTCCGTCCAAAACTTAACGTGTCTTGATCTATATCCAATTCAGTAAAATAAAAAATAAATTTTTATTTATTTATATTTTACTTTAAAAACAAGTATTTAATATTATTTAATAACACTATATAAATTAGATAAAAATTATTTAATGATGTAGCATTTACAAAATTTAATTGCAATTCTAATTTTATTCCTAATAATATTTTACCTAATGTTATTGCACGTTTAAGAAATAAAAAAAACTATGGTCTTTGTCATATGTATTTTATAAGTGATGGAATTGTAAGTAGTTTAATAGAATAGTGAAGAATATTTTATATAAAATATTTTTTTTATGATGTAATAACAATAGTTAAATTTACAATATTTAAATATTTAAATTAAGAACAATCAATATTAATATTAATATATATTTAAAATTATTTTATAATTTTAATTTTAAAAGCATTATTAATTAAATATATTAATTAATTTTTTGATTAATTTTAATTTGTACTACAATTTTAATTAAATATATATAAATATTAAATTAATTTTAATTAAAAATACTTTTTATAAAATATTTTTTTAAAATAATAACCATGACAATTACCATAATAGCTTGAAGTGGAGGCTAATGAATATTATGGCAGTCAATAGAACGTGGAAATTCTTATACAAAGCATTAGGTGAGAAATTCTTATACAAAGCACTAAGTGGGTCTAAAATTGTTTGAATAATTTTTTAAATTTTTTAATAAAATTAATTTTAGATCAGAATTGACTGAGATTTGAAACGAAAACAATTAATACTAGGAAGGAAGCAAAACTTGAAAGAGTTTGCCCTTTTGCATCCAGATGAACCTTAATCATCGTCTGGTTCTTGAGGTTAATACTTGAATTGTTGATAATTTCTTAAATGTGAAGATCTTGCATGTATATTAACTGGGGCGTGGACACTTTAGCATGTGGATACCGGCACTGCATGTTTAATACATGGAATTATGAATGTAATAAAATTTATTATTTTTTTTATTAATATAAATATTCAGTTTAACTTGCACACAAGAACAAAATTAAAATTAAAATAAAAAAGAATCAAAATATTAATTGTTTTATTATTTAGATTAAAAATATAAATACTACTAAGAAAGGGTTCAGAAATTCTTTTTCCTTACAGGGCCCTACTAGCTTTTTTTATCTCCGTTCCTCCTTACATGTATTTTTATTAATTTAATAAATTTTAAATTTTATAATTATATAAGTTTTTAATAGTATTAAGGATTATAATATTTAAATTAGTAATTTTTAAAAAATAAACCTCAAACCTAGTAGTTAAATACTATATTTATATATTTAATCCTTTTTAAATATATCAGGTGATGTGAACACTGCATTATAATAATTTTTTAAAGAAATTAATCTTCATTGACGCCCAGATTCTTGCATAGGAAGAGGGAGATGTTGGGGTGGCAGTGGCTGTTAGCATCGTTGACCCGGCCACTATTTTATTTTTTATTGATTATTGATTGATTAATAATATTAGATTACGGGATGGACTCCATTTATCGGCCATGTTCACGGAAGATGACTAATTAAAATTGATTTTCTGGTTCTGGTAAATTAATGGCCCACAACACAAAAGTAATATGTAATATGCGGTCCAGTGGTCCTTCCATCACTGGATTTTTACTTGCACGCTTCAGCCTCCCAACTTTATGTGTATATATATAGAGAGACGGTATAGCACAGAGCACGTTTGGAAATATTACTTGGAATTTAGGGTTAAGAAAAAATATTGTGTGTGAGAGAGAATGGCAATGGACAAGGCGAAGGAGCTGGTATCCACCAATTCCGTGGTGGTTTTCAGGTTTTCTTTCTATTAGATATCATACGGATCTATTTATATTTCATTTTAGATTTATTAATTTGTGTAATGTTAATTTCTTTTGAAAAACTTTGCTCGCAGCAAGACATACTGTCCATTTTGCGTCAGAGTGAAGGAGCTTCTGAATCAATTAGGAGCCAAATACACTGCTGTGGAATTGGATACCGAGAGTGAGTTTTCCCATTTACATGCTCATGCTCTTGACAAAATGATTAATATTTTTGGAAATTACTTTGATTTTTGTTCTGTTTTACTGTTTATTAAATTTATTTAAAAGAAATTGTGATTCGGTCATATTCATCGTAAAACTCCATCGGTTAAGGAAACGGAGGGTTTTCGTAGAATTGATAGAGGCAGTCTTGCGATTTAGAATAGAATCTTCTTGCCCAGAATAGAATCTTCTTGCCCCTAAATAGTTTTAAGAAAGAAGGCATATAGATTCAATCAAAAGAAATGGGGTGGTATGTGATCCAATCAATCATGAAATATATGGTCTTGCTACTATTGTTATGATGATGAGATCCATATCCAATCAATCAATCATACCTGCTGTTATGAAATATATGATCATATGCTATGCCTGTGTGTGATTTTTTGCGTGTCTCACGTGCTTGTATGTCTTTTTGAATATTTTCAAAAGGTTGAATAGACCTATGTATTCCCTTGAAAGGGTGTGAATTTATGTGCTGTTAATCAGGGATTTGATTAATTGATTGTGGTACATGCATGTTCTTTGTGTTCTTAAGAGGATGGAAGTGAAATACAATCAGCGTTGCATGAGTGGACTGGACAACGCACTGTGCCAAATGTTTTCATCGGCGGCAACCACATCGGCGGCTGTGACAGTATGCCTTCCTATTCTTTCTCTATATTCCGTTGTTAATTGTTTACTCTATTATTCACCGGGGGGGCTCCTTTTACTGTTTCCAGAAACCACAGGCATGCACCAGGAAGGAAAGCTGGTTCCTCTGCTTGCTGATGCTGGAGCTGTTGCCCCTGCTTCTGCGTCTGCTTAATGGAGGTTCAGTTATGCCTTGCAATAATTAACCGTTGTGTTTGGTTTAAGTTCTTGTCTTTTGACGCTTGAGCAAGTGTCTTTGCGTTCTATAATGACTAGTAGTTTTTTATTCCTCCGACATTTCTGTGTGCTGTGGAATCTAAGCTAAGCTGTGTATCCATTATGAAATATCAGCTGTCTTTAGCTGGGATTTACCATGACTATTAAACTCGCCCTTGCATGAAATGCTAGTCGATTCTCTTTTACCTCAGATGAATCAAGATTGTCATCCTCAACTAGTAGAAATTAGAAGCCATGTTAAGATTCAGGTTTCTCGTAGCCATAATGCTAAGATCCTCACTGCTTTCTACGGAAGATTTCTGACTCTACCTTTAACTGCCTAACAACTAATCCAAGCTAACGCGATCCTACTTTGTTAGGCCACTATTCTGCCACCATAATGGTGGTGCAACCAACATAATAACTGAGCCCTTCAAGACAGAAAAGCTCAACTGTTTAACCCTGAACAGTGATCAATCCATCTGCGCCTGCCCTACCTTCGTTTTTTAAATTTACACCAGCCACATGAAGTCGTTTCCAAGCGTCGAAAAGTGCTGGAGCCAATTCATGAAAACGAGCTTTATTGACTGCACCACACGAGTTCCTTGCTACGCAGACAAAGGAAGATGGCTTTTAGGACTCCATGTTTTAGCAGTGAGCTAGATGTTGCGACTTATTGGATCCAAAAGTGACACACTGGACTTGCGAGTTTTTTATCCCTCCTAACAAATCCAATCTAATAACACATAAACAGTGCAAGAAAGAAAAGAGGAGAAGAAACCTCAAATTGGTTAGCTCAACTAGGCAAGCTCAACTAGGAGATTTTAAATTTTAAATTTGTTTTTTAATGATTTTGAATTCGAGTTTATTTAGTATTATTAAAAATTTATATAATTATTAATTTTAAGATTTATAGAATTAGTAAAAATATATCTAAATTAGTTTGAATAACTACGTCAAAAAAAATTCATAAAATTAATGAAGGCATCCGTAAAATGGCTTGGGCATCCACATAATTTTTTTTTCAAAAAAAGAAAAAAAGGAGAAGAGCTTAGGGTGTGGTAATGGGGAGGAGAGCTGCTTTCCTGGAAGCTGTACGGTATGATAATCATCAAGCATCTGGCATTCCCAAAAAGTAAAAAACTTAATATTTTATTGTCGTGGAATATTCATGAGAAACTTAAAATAAAATTATGCATATTAGATTTATATTAATTATTCATAAAATAATTGCTAAAATTATCATATAAAACAACTAATCTGATTTGCAATATCATCATATAATTTTTATAATATCACTAAAATTATTTTATTTTAAAATAATTTTAGTTTAGAATATAAAATAATAAAATAACTAAATAAAAAAATAAGTATAAAACTAAAAGTTTTAAACTTAAATATAATTAGATAAATAACTTTTTGTCTGCGCCAATAATTTTCAATCGAATAACTTAGAATCCACCTTAACAATTTTTAATTACTAGAAAATCTAGATTTATATTTCTTAATACTCCAAAATTTAAATTTAAATTTATTTTCATTTAAAAACAAAATAACATTATAAAAATCTCTATAACCCCGAAACAAGTTCCAATCTATCTAAAAACTCAAAATCAAATCAAAATATATCTTTTGGATTCCAAGCTACACATTTTAGCATTATTTAAAGTTCAAACCATCTTTAATTAAACTATTCATTTCAAGATAAATCCACTAACATGAAGATTCTTGTTTTTTGTGGTTGAAATGTTGCTGGCGAAAGCTTTCTCTTTGCTCTCCCTCTTCGTCGCCTTTCTCTCCTTCCTCAACTGCTAAAGACTGAAATGTAATAAATAAATAAATACAGTTGTGTTACCTGGATGTAAAATTAGATAACTATAGGGATCATAGTGTAAAAAAGCACGCCTGACGAATAGGGCAAATGAACAGTGTTATGTATGCGTGAGAAGCGTGATGCACAAGGAAACACCCTTCTGTTTTAATTTTTATTTTTTTTTAACTATAATAACAGTAATAACATGATTTTCTGCAAGATAGATATCTTTACAAAACAACTCAAAATTATGAAAACGTGCAGGATGGCTTTTGGAAATCATCAAGCTCTTGCAAATGGCAGCGAGTAGCAGCACTTGTGTCAGTGGCAGCCAATTCGTGGGCTTCTGTTTCAGCTCACAAAAAACAGAACTCGAGGGAAGAAAGAGATGACCTCTATACATTACCGGGATAACAAAATAGCTAAGAACACAAATGCTTGCATAAGTAATTGACGCAGGAACCACACAGGCATCACAAGAAACAAATTGAAACTCACAAGCGCTGTTGAAATTGCAGCAAATTGTCTCTCGTAACATTTACAACATCAAAGTCAAAGATTACATTTAGGTGAAGAGTTCAAGCTTAGGAAATGAATGACCATGTCAACAAAATACTGTTAGGCATTTCCTAACGGGTGAAGAGGTCCTGTACCCTAAGCTTTCCTACTTCAAAATGCATATTTTGAAGAATATATGAAGAGAATTGCTGAATGGATGAAAATCAAAGTTATCAATAGCTTGTTTTTAGTTTTATATCTCTTTGGTGGATTCCACTGAGTGGTGAACTATTCCAAACTGTAATTTCTAAGATAGTGATTTTCGTCTCTTTTCCATCTTTCCATCTGTTCTTTCCCTCCATCTACATATCCATAATTTCCACTGAAATCCCAGCACCCGTTTTGCCATATCAGTAATGTACACCACCTTGGCTGGTGAAGATAGCTGGGATACTTCCGCATGCTGCTTGATGAAACTCGTCTTGATAGCTAAAACGCATCGACAAGTCTCTAGTTATGGTTGAGCTCGTGAGTTTCTTCAACATCATTTCACCAAGCAGAAAATGTCGAAGCCTCTTCTATAGAAGCTAACACGTACTATATATATTTTTCTGCAATCTACTGCTAATAATTGTTCTAATATGTGGAGTGCTACCATCCATTCATTTCTGGACTTGGGCTGGTTCTTGTTCTTATTTACGTATTAGTATACAATGGAAATGGACATTCGACTAGCTTCTTCAAGATTCATATTGTGGGTACCTTCCACCTTTTTTTGCTGAAATGGATAATTGTGATTGGTGCTATGTCAAACTCAAACTTAACTAGGAAAATATCCTTCTTTCTTTCTGAAGTGGGAGTGGTGTGTGGTGTCCCACTTAAAAGAAAGAAATATCTGAACTAGGAAGGAAGGATTCTTCAATGTTTCCTTATCCATAGCTTCAGAATCTGGCCACCATTTTATTATCATATCATATCGATAAGGAACTACAGAAGCAGTGGAAGATATGTCAGTTTCTCTACTCCCAATTGATCATCTTTCAATAACAAAAGCTTTCCAAATTCACGCCAGCTACTTCAATCCTTCCACAACCATCTCAAGGTACTTCTATCTCCTGCAAAGTGTCGATAATGATCATGATTCTATTTTAAAAAATAATAATAATCAAGCATCTGTTACCAATTGAAACTGATACCTTGTTTCCTAAGCAAAACAACAGCAAAACAACTTGCTTTTTTTTTGTCTGTACATCATCTGCAGCGCTCTACCAAGGGAGTGAGTCGCTTTTTTCTCTCTTAAAGATGATGTTTTCTAGTTTAGATGAAAATGGAACTTAGTCTCAGATTTAGTAAACGTAACTAAGTAAGTTTGATTTCAAGATGTAGGCACAAATGCTCCCTAGTCAGATGTTGTGATAGAAGAAGGGAAGGGAGTGCAAGAATAAAGAAGAATTACTATGAGTTGCTGGGAGTTTCAGTTGATTCCAGTAACCAGAAAATTAAGGAGGCTTATAGGAAGTTACAAAAGAAATATCACCCTGATATTGCTGGACAGAAGGTGCTTTCAATGAACCATTACTAATTTCTAAATTACTAGCACCAGTATTAGCAAAATATGATGCTTCCATCCTAATAAACCCTTTTTGAATCTCTCTTTAGGGCCATGAGGACGCTCTGATGCTGAATGAAGCCTATAATGTCCTGATGACAGATGATCTTAGGACAAAGTATGATGCTTCCATTGGTCATATGACAGTGCAGATTGGGAAAAACAACTATGTTAATGTCATGGGTTCCAGCTCATGGAAAGGGCCATTGAGACCCCAAGCTCTGTTTGTTGATGAAAATGCATGTATAGGTCAATCTTACAGCCCCCATGCACTTACAAATGCATGAAACACAACTAATTAGCTAGTAATCTTCACTTTTTTTTTTTCCTTCTATTTTTGGTTCTGCATGTGATCAGCTTCTAAATCAAAATAGTCTACTCTACAGGGTGCAGAGAATGTGTGCACCATGCTAGCAACACGTTCATCCTGGATGAATCAATTGGATGCGCACGAGTAAAAACTCAATATGGAGATGACGACCAAAAAATAGAGGTAAATAAAGCGTGATCTTGTCGAGGAGACCATAAGACAATTTTAACAACATGATATGTTCTGTGTTTCCTGTCACAGCTTTTGTGTCAGTACTTTGTGTGTAAATGAGTCAAGGAAATGACGAGGAATTCAACTTACAGGTATCAGTTGAATCATGTCCTGTGAACTGCATCTACTGGGTGGATAGGGAAGAATTGGCACTTCTTGAATTCCTAATTCAACCACAACTAAAGCAAGGTTATGGTGTATTTGGGCAAGGCTGGGATAGACCTGCTAATGTTTTCACGGCAGCAAAGACATTGAGCAAGCAGTTGAGACAGGAGGCTGAACATAATCACAACAATGGTAAGTGCAAGCCATATTGCTCCTACAATTGAAAGGAACAATTGCGACCATCAAGATGATTTCACCTTCAAATTCTTTCTTCTAAATGATTTGCACTAAACAAGGTTCATGGCAATTGCAGTGCAAACAACTGTAGAGGAAGAAACCCCTGCTCAAGCAGAGGCTCGTGCCAACGCTGCCTTGAAAATCAAGATGGAGAGCTTCTCAAAAATCTGGGATTCATTGAATGGAATTTTTGGTTAAAATAGTTCATTTGGGACCACTTCAGAAAATATTAAACTTTCCTAGTTATGCTTCTTTGCATACTCCTTTAAGATGTTTAGGAAGTCAGAAGAGAGGGGAAGAAAAAAAAACTGCACATGAAACTTTTTAGTTTGAAATTTGTAATTTTAGATGGTGAATCACTTGGTAATAGACGCAGTTCAAGTGTCCTGGAATGAGGGCTTGTTGCTAGCTGCATGCTGCTGTCAAAACAACCTCTATGTCTCTCTAATCGTTGTGTCATATATACTTCCTCCTAGGCATTTCCTCAGGAACCTCTTTCTCTGTGTGGATTACTGAGAATATGACAAAATACGGAACCATCCCAACAGAAGAACACCCATCATCAGACTCGCAAATTATTTCAAATATAAAGGGTAGGATCTCATCAACCCTAGGTACAACAAGATCATGGAAAGAAATGATCCAACCACAATCTCTCTGTCTTCCCTCCACATTTATAGAATACGGTCGAAGAATGAAAACGAATGCTGGGTATTTTCGCATGAACTATGTTATCATCATCTTATTTCTTCTCTTCCTCAGCTTGCTATGGCACCTCATATCCTTGATCGTCCTTATAGCCACGATGACTGCATGGTTATTCTTGTAGCTTGTACAAGACTATCCCTTGATGGTTTTCAGCCCTTGTCATCTCAGATGATGTTAACATGATTTTCTTGTAGGTGGCCATCATCGTCATGATCTTAATTTTCATAGGGGTGACAGTCATTTTGATTCATTAAGCATTCAGAAATTCTGATGATCGGATCACTGTGGATCATGAAACTGGTTTTGGATCAACAACCTCATCACTTACCCGCTACGTTAATATAACTACTGTGCCTTTTCCTGCCTCCTAGGTAATGATGCTTGTTATCTATTAATTCATCAAAGTAATATGTATTCTATGTTTTTGCGTTATCAGTAAGATTTATTTATTTATTGCAGGCAGTGAGTTTTGAAAGCTCAAGTTAAGCATGTTATTGGTTTTCTAATTTCTTAGCGTTTATTTTTTTTGAATTATTTTAGAAGGGGATAGCTTGGAAAATGTTGTATTTCAAGATGTTTTTTAATATAGAAATGCATTAAAATAATATTTTTTAAAATTTATTTTTAAAATCCGTATATCAAAACAATAAAAAGATATATAAAAAAATAATTTGAAGCAAAAAAAATTTCAAAAATAACAAATCAACTGTTGAACTGCAACGCCAAATATCACCGAATTATTCTACTTCTATCACTAAATAAGTAAAAATTCTCTTTTTTTTTGCTATGTCATCTGCAGTTCATTTTCTGATTCCAAATGTCAATCAACGAAATGCATTCAAGCTATAATCTTGAGAAGAAATTAAGATTTGTTTTTGAATTTAGATGAATTAACTGATCCTAATTAAGTACAGAAACTATTGAGCAAGTATTTAGATCCTAATAACATGAAGAGTAAACAACACACCTTTAACTTTTGATAAATGTATAAACAGCAAACGTTATTTGATAAATGCAGCAAACGTTATTCGATAAATGCACAATTACCAACAGCAACAAATTCAACTAGAATTATTCTCTCAACAATCCCAATGCAAACCACAACCAAACAACTTAAACTCAAATTTTGGCCAAACTCCACCGGATAATGGATCTGACTGTGGTGGTATGGCCAGGAGTCGTCCAATACAATCTCCATGCATGCAATCAATCGAGATGGTTCATTAAATAAAATCTTCATGCATGTACACACAAAGGAACTTACCATTGCCATGAGCAGGCTGCTTATGCAAATTAATCGATGAGAAATTGACCCGGTTAATTATCTGCCACCAGAGCCTTGTTTCCACCAAAGGTCGTCTGCTGGCATAATTTCCATCAAAAGTAGAGAACAAAAAATCAAAGTACGAGGTCCAGGGATCACTTCAGTGTTGGCAACATTTCACGTTCTTGTACATGAAATGGTTACAATTAACGAGGTTACATTCACACCTACACATAAATACTAGAACTATTACCCCACCTGTCCTCCTTGCGTTTACCATTTTCTGTCAAAGTGACGTGCAATGCTGCTTCAGTGAAAATTCTGCAGAATGTCTTCGATCCATTTTGGTCTAAAATATGCCATGTGTTCCTGTCTTGATTCCAATCCAAGTGAAGGTAGAAAAATTGAATGGAGGAAAAAAAAAAAAAAAGACAAGAAAAGGAAAAACGCAAGAAAGCCTGCCACATTTGAACAAACGTGTTATTGTTTTCTTATGAAATAATACCTCCAAGGATCAAGAATTCAGATTCAGCCACACCAGATGAACACGGGATGAAGGCATCTGGACTTGAAGTTAGGACAAAACAGTGTATGGAGAGGGAAGAATTTGGACACAGAGTGCTGTTTTATTTTAATAGCTATAGGACTGAGGGAACCATTTTGTCAACAGGTTATGCTTTATTTTGGTAAATAACATGAAGAGGCCATAGCTTGGTATATGCATCATTGCCACGAGTAAGTACCTGTACATCCATAGCACAAACAGAAAGGAATCAGATACACTTGTACTTTGAAGCTCAGGCATGTTTTCTTAATTTAACCAGTCAGAGGAGACAATAAAAGGAAGAAAAGAAGTTCTGATAAGAGTAGCCTTCTGCAGAAAAGGAAGTCATAGGGTGCACAACTAGCTTAGAAATAGTATCCTGGACTATGATATTTGAAACTTACTAAATTTTATATGAGAATTAACTAAATATAATTTGCTCAAACTCGTAATACAAAAATCCATAATTATTATATGAACCTTGGACGAGATATAAGGTAAACTAGAACTACTAATATCTTCAGTTAAAAAAAATAATAACAATTATGACATAGGATGAGTGTAGATCACTGCAGAAGGATAACTCCTTGAAACCACCAACATGTGAATGCATCAAGACATGGATATCATCCTTTTCTTTCAAGTATATCTAAGAGTTATTTTATTGGGAAAATTAAGCTGAAAACTTTGCAAGGAATACGGAAATGAGATGTCCTAGGGACAAACCATAATGGGGCATATGAAGAGGACAAGTCAAGAAATGGGTATGGCCACCTGAAGCAAACAGAAAACCACTATTGATGAGTGAAACAAAAACAAACAAAAATGTAAAAAGAAAAAAGAGAAACATAAATTACCAAATTGATACACAAGCATGCACAATCCACTGGAAAATGACAAAAAACCCCGTCCACAGAATGAAGTAAGAAACCCGAAACCAAGGGAATGGCTGAAAATGAGCAAGTAGAGCTAATCAATGATTATTTCAAAGCGAAATACTGAAAACAAGGTAGAGGGAAGGACACAATATTAATTTACCAAGCAATTCAAAGCTGTGTCCCCAAGAAGTAAGACAGCATTGAGTGTATGCATATTCACTGTTAACTGACATGAAGAAAAACATGGACTTTTCAGATATAGAGGAGAACAAGCGGCACAGTGAACAGCATATTGACGGACAACAACAGCAGCAGCAGCAGCAGTAACAGTAACATAAAAAAGAGTTGATTAGAAGCTGATTCACAATAGCCACGAAGCATTAAAAATAACGTAACACCATGCAAGTCCAATTTACTTCTCCATAAAAGAAAAGACCTAACAATGGTAGTTATAGTCAAGTCAACTAGATTGTGTATAAGTTGAGGCCTAGTCTACATGTGACCAGGATAATTTTCGTGATGGTTCACATGCTTATATGAGAGGGGGGGGGGGGGGGGTTGAGTCTCTTTGTATTATACTAATAAAATTTATCGGTAAATCAGAATACGGATATTGTAACCACAAAACTTCAAGAAATATGACTTGTTGTGCTGAGAAGAGAGAGATTTTTTTTTGGGGGGGGGGGGGGGGGGGGGGGGTGTACGACTCTAGTAGTAATAATTTTAGGGAGCAAGCCTGAAGCTTTTCCTCTTAGCACCAAAGACCTTTTTGTATTCATGTACAGGCCTACCGTGAGGAAGAACCAAAGTAAAGACACAGGTTGCCAAACTAAGCCAGCCTAATTAGCAAACTCTATGCAACAAGCACAGATAGGAAAAGGAAATAAGAATAGGAGTGTTTAATAACCCACGAAATCAAGCAACACATAGCCAAGTGCATTTAACCCAAGTGTCTCTTTGTTTGCTAACCATAATCCTACAATATTTATCTATCTCAACAAAGAAAGGCAGCTAGCTTGTAAAGAGGCCTAAAAATGTGATAAGAGATCTGCAGATGATATTAGAATAACATCAGCTATTGGATTTACATATAATATATCAAATAAAAAGGAAATCTATCTTGTATCAATCTGTCTGGAAGCAATCAAGGACCAGCAGTTTCTTGATTTGCTAAAAACAAGAATAGATGCAAAATGATTTATCCAGGTTCAACATAAATCATAATGCTGCCAAGAACTGAAAGGAATAAATCATAATGTAAGGCGGCAAGAAAAGTATATATCTATAAGTTCTAAATGAAGTGAACTAACAGACAGAACTACGAAATAAAGAGCAAAGAAAATGCAGGTCCAGAGCTCATCTAAAACACACAGAACTTACAAAATCCAGTGAGTAATCTCTGATGGTAAGAAACGGAAAAATAATGATCCAATAAATAGAATCAGTAAGCATCACTGCACCAGCAGTCATCTGTTTATTAGAGATAAAAAAGAAAACTAATTAGATAACAAACAACTGCATGAAGCTATAATATTCTCATGACATGCCTCAAAGTGTTTTCAATATTTAAAAGAAAACAATCTAAGAGGAAGATTTTGAAGAGAAGACAACTGAAGTATCAAAAGCATCTATGCCCAATAGCTGTATTAATACTAAACCTTGAGTCTAAGATTTCAAGTTCTGGATCAGGAAATCAGAACCCTGAAAGAGTCAATTTGTGCCCCCCCAATATGAAAGATCTCGGAACATGCATGAGATAAGGTTTATCAAAACCCCGCCAAGGATAAACTGCAAGATTTATTAAAATTTCATTTTTTTCACAGATTATATTTTTTTTCCAGCTAAACTTGCATACCTGGACCAAGGCAAGATAAAGAAGAAGAAAAGTAAAAGAATAGCTGTGGAGAAAAGAAGTTAAGACCATCTGTAAAACATACAGATACCAGCTAAAAAGAACAACTGAACAACAGCAACTTAGATTCATGGAAAGAGATCAAAAGGTTTACTTCACAAACTAGAGGCTAGTGGCCAACCAAGGAAACATGACATGAAACTTGTTTATTATAGCCCTTCTCTGTATCACTAAAACTACTTGATAGTACAAAGAAATGTACCTGGAATATAACCTGAAAAAGATAACAACAAATGCTTGCAGCTTGAGAAGAATGAATTTCCTCTGGGGGTTCTGAGGATTTTCTTTTTTCCAGTACATTTGCCCTGTCCCCATGAGGTAGAGGCATGTAATACCCTTGCTCGGTGTCTCTCCCGACATGAGATTCATAAAATCCAGTTTTGTGATACAGGTAACATCCATAAATGGAGAGCAGTGATCCAAACTAAAAAAGAAAATGCCAAGATCATAATATGTACATGGCACCAATTAAAGATTGGTGTTATTATGAATTTGGTCAAAATTTGGAGGTGCTGAACAGAAGCATATAAAGAAAGCAGAATCAAACACATACCCCAAAATAAATAGTAACAGAAGTGAAAGTCCACCTGTTAAGCACCCCAAAACATTCAAACAGCTAAGTTAAAATTCAAGAGTACATCTAGCAAGAAGAAAGCAATGAGAAACAGGTACTTAAAACATCAATTGCCAAAACGTAATCAAAATAAGGCCAAGGTCCTTTGAGTCCATCAAGAAAAGCTATCTCTCACTCTCTGATTGAGCTTACTGGGTATAGTAATAAAACATGACGAATCCATTACGAGAAACTTTGGCAATGAGGATCGCCGAAAGCAAAGAGAAGGAAAGAAGTCGATAAGCCAACAACCAAATAGGGTGAATTTGATTAAGACATGATCTCCACGGTTGATTGCAGCACAACGAATGAGCTACCTCTTGCTGAGTTTTTCCTTTGCATGATCCCAAACATTCATATTTCCGTATAAGGAAGAATGCTACAACCATAGGCGTAAATACCCAGATTGCACAAAGCAAGACCCTCCAGTTCAACCAGTAACTCAGGGTGGTTGTGTCGGAAGTAACCATTAGCTGCTGTATTCTGATGAAGAAATGAAAACAATGTTAGTTACCCCATCAATCCAATTCCTGGTCATTAATCAATTGATTATTTCACACAATGCATGCTTGATTTCTAATTATTTCAACATCATTAATAAACGAATTGTGTGTTATTGCATCATCAAAGCACATGGATTCATTAACTTTCTCTCCTAATGGAACCATCAACTGAGATGAAGTTCATTGTTTACTCAAAACTAGTAATCAAGGCTGCTCACTTTATTAACTTAGGAGTTGGTGCTATAATTATAAATCAATTACTAGAAGAGTAAGAAGTCCACAATCAATCAATGAAAAAAAAACTAAATTAAAAAAACTGATGTACACGCACATAACCAATTCAAGCAACCCCAGATGACAAAAGTGTGAAAAGCAAAAGAGAAGGGTGCGTACAGAGCGAGAAAAAAGAATGCTTTATGAACCGGAAGAAAAGCAGGCTCAATACATGATATGATAATGTACGTACAATTAATATATTGACAGAAAAGAAAGAAACGTGAAGAGTTTGGTTTTGCTTGGGGATCCAACAAGAGACTGTCTGTAAGCAAAGTCCCGGACGCACAGAGAAAGTATATAATTACAGCACAGCAGACATTTCTAGTCAAGCAGACAGTAGCCACTAAGTTTCCCTCGGTCACAGTGATCCCATTTTTTTTTTTTTTTTTTTTTTTTTTTTCGACCCCAGTCCCTCCCAAATCTTCTAACTTAGTCCCTCTAGTTTACCAAAACTACATAAGTAGTACTTTCCATTTTATTTATGATTCCCTTATCTTTAACTTTATTTATAACATGGTCCTCTCTCAGTCCAATTACTTCATGTTATTTTGCAATTAATCTTTTTTTCAATTAAAAATATAGAAAACAATTGAGTGAGTGATTAAGGCATGAATTTATTTTCAATTATCGGCCAAGATCTTAAAAGGGTTCCACTTAGATTCAGAAATCTATAAAATTTATTTTTTAATTTTTTAAGTTATGCTAAATATATTCAAAATCATGCTTCAATGTAAATTTAATTTCAATGTTATGATAATATTTATTATATTATTTTTCATTAATTTTACCAAGTTTAAGATTTGACATAAAGGGATATTATTGAAAAACATATTTGTATAGGAACTAAATTATAATTAGTGTAAATATGATGGAATAAACATTTTCAACTAAGGACTTATTCATAAGAAAAATAACAAATAGGGACGAAAATGATTTTTAAGAAATCTTTAGAACCAAAATATGTAATATTGAAAACTTCCATGACCACATAACTCGTGTCAATTTTTTATGTTATTAACAATATCAGCTTACGGAAGGATGTAATAATGACAAAATATAACAAACAAAATTGATATTAAGATTAAAAAACAAATATTAGCAATTTCTTTTAAATACTAAACTAAGAGTAAAAGGATGCAAGAAAGCATTGACCCAATAATAAAAATGTCTAATCTAAGCATGAAAGAGAAATGGCTCTCTATTATACAAATTAATTAACGAGAAATGACCTTAGCTTGATTAACATGAGAAACAAATCCTATAAAATAATTAAATAATATAATATGTAATAGATTGAAATAAAATTATAATACTTACAATAACTCATTAATTAATTTTTATTTTCATATGTTGTGGGGTTTTTCACAAAATTAATATGACACTTGAAAATGATCATATAATTGTTTGAGAAAATTATTTGTGTTAAAATATCATTTAAATGCTATGTCATAATTTATATTTTTCTATGTATTTCTAAGAATAATTTTTTCCAAAAAATAAAAAGCCTTTTGATGTGATTTAGTTACTTTATCGTCATTGTATAATTATTGTCACTTTTGTTTTATTTTGTATAAGTTTTTATAATAAAAAAATATTAGAGAGTGAAGTGATGAGGAAAGAAAAAATAATTAAGATGAAAAATAACCAAATCATATAATGGGAGATTATACACGCGAGGAAAAGAAAAATAAATTGGGGTACAAGTAAAATTAAGAAAATTACCATAAAAATCCTTATTTAAGTAGAAAAAAATATAAAGATCTTTTTAATATTTTTTTCAAAAAATATAAATACATAGACAAAAAAATACACAAAAAAAAGGTCCTAGAAAAAAAGAAAAGGCAAAGAAAAAGAAGAAAGAAATACAATAAAGGCAAATTACAAGCTATTTAATTATCCAATCTTCAATAGTAATTCAAACAAACCATCATTAAAAAATTTCCTATATTTCTATTTCAGAAAGAGGAATTGTTATGCTTAAAATACTAACTTTAAATTTGTATTTTTATAATTTTTCAGTCTAACAGATAGCTTCTTAAAAAATAAGAGACATAACTTACTATTTATAGATAAATTTGTAAACCCTATAAATTAGAAAAATATTAATTTTCTCCCTGAATAATATCCATATATTAATTCAGGATATTTTTAGAAATTAACTTAATCAAGTCATGGATTTTTCTAAGTCTAAAAATATAATCCTTATATTAATTATATTCTTAATCTTGAATTTTTAAAATAAATTTTAATAAAGTTATATTTAATTAAATTATCTCAATTTAATTTTTAATTAATGGTTTTTAATATGTATGACCCATTAGGTTTCTAATATGTTGGCTTAAATATAAATTCTAATTCTAATTAAATAGAATTAAATAAATTTAATAATTTAATTTATTATCAATTAAATAATTGATTAATTTATATTTGAAGATCAAGTGTATAGTCTAATAACGTGTCATGATTCTTCAAATATTATAAAATTTATTAGTGGTTTGATTTAACTTTTCAGTGACCTGTTGCTTACTGTAATTAATATTTTTTATTAATGATGTTTCGATTTAACATCAAAATATGAAGTATGCTTGTAATGTTAAATCATGTTTATTATCTATATAATAGCATCGATCATTTGAATAAGATTTCAAACTCTTTTCAAATCTTTTCCATCTTGGTTAATGATTTTTTAGTCAATACTATTTGAGAATAGATAAAATATTTTTCCTCGTTCATATAGGGTGATGAATCATCTCTTGATCACTCAAGTACTTTTATATAATTCATGTTATATCAAATGCTTATCATTTCACTACCTCTTTTAAGATAACATGTGACAGGATTAAAACATAATATTCTTTATATAAGATAATTTAGTGATTTCAAATCTAAAGATCATTTACACAACCATCACGTGAGCTTTTTTTTATAGATATAGGTAATCACTCTACATGAAATTCTCATGCGGAGCAATTCAACGTATATATCTTATGACAAGCACTTACATTGGCTTATAAAAACAACTATTTTTTCCATAAAAAAAGCATAATACGTACTAGTTTTTATGACTCTAATGAATTATCAGTATTTAAAAAAGTATCGATCAATAATATTTTAGAAATAATATTTTGATGTAATATAAACCTCATAATTATAACAATTTTAATGTGCTTTCATTTGCAAAGCATTTTATCCCATAAAATTTATCTTTACTCTAGATTTACTAATATAATGCTATATAACTATTAAAAATAAATTAAGTTTTTATTAATAATAAATATATATTTACATAAATATAATAATACCACTAAATATCACATTATTATAATAAAATCATCCACTCTCGTGTGGATGCAAATGCCACTTGATTCAATTAAGTATGGCATCTAACAGTAACTTATCAATTTAATTCAAGTTTTCCATCTTTTTTTTCCGAAGAAGATGAAGATTAAGTTGCCCTGCATAGTCAAGAAAGATCTACGTCGGAGTAAAGTTCCCGGAAATCGACTGTGGGATGTCACTCTTGTCCAAGGCTGGTGGTCCACGATCGTTGTCCATGATAGTTGCCGGTCTCAAAATGGAGTACTGAAAGCCACAAGTTTGTCGCAGCAAGTTCCCTACTTGTGAAACTTGAAATTCGTATCGTCCATTCATTTCGAAACTCTTGCTTACAACCATTAAAATTATAAAATGACTAACCACAATAATCCACCATTAATAAATAAAACTTCTCTTTAAGTCAACCTCTTAGTTCCCATCACTGATTCGCCCGACAGTAACAGCAGCCCGTCAGTACATGCTATCTGTAAAAGCCATTATCCAATTCTAGATCTTTATGGAGTCCTTTCGGTCAGCCAATCAATTTCTTCAAGTAGCAGGCAGATGGGAGCGTTACTTTAGTACAAATATTTATTAACTTCTTTATCTGTTAATCAACTCTGATGGGATGCTCACAGTTTTAGCTAAGATAACAAGCTACAAAATGAAGGATTCGTTGAACAATGGCTAGTTCCTAGATCTTCACTTTCCAGTAGAAACTTGAAATGCAACTCCTATTAAACAAGGTGCCAAGAACAAAAACCAAGGCTTTGTACTATTCATGCAACGCTTAAGAATCTCTGCCTCTCCTTTTCTCTCTTGTCCTTCCACTCCAAAATGCTGAGCACAGCATTACCTCTGTCTCTTTCAACCCCAGTTCTTCGACCACAAAAACCTTTATATTGTCAATCTAGCCCCAGATTTGGCCCATGTATTAACCTCCCTTCTTTAAAACCGCTTGATACTATTTGCTGTCATGGCTTCTCTCGTCGAAAAACTTCCCTGTCAGGTTCTTGTTTGAGCTGCAATACTCGAATCTCTGCATTTATCTGTCGAAATCATGGATATGGCAGTATCAAGGTCTGGGCTGCCTCAGTTCCTGACAGTACTGGTGAATTTGAGAAATCAGGTGATGTGGCTAGGACAATGCAGCTAGGTGCTATGTTTGGAATTTGGTATCTTTTGAATATCTACTTCAACATCTTTAACAAGCAGGTTCATTTACACATCTCTCTCTGTATGCCATTTCATTTCACCTCGTGAAATTGATTTGTCATTCTTTTTTTTTTATTTTTTGATGTTTATATATCTTGTATGGTTTTGGGTATGTCTTTCTGATTAAGTGGTGACACTTCGTCTTTTCTATCTCACCGTGCTATCATCTAATATAATTCTACAAAGAAAAGCTGTGCTCTCAAAGCTACAAAACTGGATACTAAGGAAGCGAAATTATGATTTTTTAATGGTTCATCACTTATAATTAACTATTTAGTCAGTACAGAGATATTCTTCTTCAGGAAATGAACAAGACACAAATATAATAATATATGCAGCAAATGTATGGAAAGGTGAATATTTCTAGTTTTCCTTTCATCTCCATTCCAGTATTTGAGAAGAGTGAAATAATTTGTTTTCTATTCTTTGTTGTAGGTTCTGAAGGTGTATCCATTTCCAGCAACAATTACAGCTTTCCAATTTGGCTGTGGGACTGTGATGATCATCATAATGTGGGCACTAAATCTCTGCAACAGACCGAAGCTTACTCGTCCACAGGTACTTGCTGGTATCGGACTGAAGAATCAATATTGCTTTATTTTGTCACTTATCGCGTTCTCTTCGCAGATTTTAGCCATCCTACCTTTGGCTGTAGCACACACATTTGGTAACCTTCTTACTAATGTTAGTCTGGGAAAGGTTGCTGTCTCATTCACTCATACAATCAAAGCTTTGGAACCCTTTTTCACAGTGTTATTTGCTGCATTGTTTCTTGGTGAGGTAAGGATTTGTGATCAGAATTTCACAATCTACCACTGTAGATCTTTGGGATGTAACAAGTACTGTTGCAGGTGTGTCTAGCAGAACTTCGAAAACATTTTCGTTGGGGCTATAATGCTGCTGTAAATTTCCTTGTTTAGGAACCCAAATTGTAGATTAATGCTCGTTTGCCAATGCCATAAGAATAATAGGCGTCCAAATTCAAAAAGTGTAAGGCTGTAGATATTCATTCAATTGTAGTTCATACATATTAATGAAACTGTAGAGGTAGTAATTCCCCAGTTGAAACTCAGTGCATGCTGTCCTGGAAAATAAAACCCCCCTGGGATGTAGTCAGAAAGAAGCATAAAGCTCCTTAATTCAGTGGCAAGGAATTTACGGTTAAGCGGTTTGTGCTGTCCCTAAATGTTTTAAGCTGCCTTTGTTCGTGATATTATCTTCATTTTTTGTTTTTCATACAACAACACAGTTATAAAGTCTATTTTGTAAGACAAAATGATTAGTTTTCTCACTCTGGGAACAGACGCCTGCTTTCTGGGTACTTTCCTCTCTTGTGCCACTAGTAGGTGGAGTAGGCTTGGCATCATTGACTGAGGTCTCTTTTAATTGGTAAGAAAGTAATTTTATATATTTTTGGGTGAGCTAAGACTCAATGCATTAGAGTTGTCTAAAATAAATGATCTTCGAGTCCATGTTTTACCTGCTTTTGAGAATGATTAGCTATTTTGACATGAACAGGATCGGTTTCTGTAGTGCAATGGCTTCCAATGTGACTAACCAGTCACGAAATGTATTTAGCAAAAAGTTGATGGTTAACAAAGAGGTAAGAGGCGGGAGGTCTTCGCAGGAATAAGAATTTCAAACCTAATTTCTCTAATCTTATTCTAGTAATTCTGCTAGTGCTTGAATTGTTTGTTATGGTCAATTTGATCAGGCCCGTAACCAGCAGCACCTTGTTCTTGATAGGAAACTTTGGACAACGTCAATCTCTTCTCTGTCATAACCATCATTTCTTTTATCCTGCTGGTTCCTGCTGCTATTTTCATGGAAGGCTTTAAGTTTACTCCGTCATACCTGCAGTCTGCTGTGAGTATTATACATACGGTTTTTAGTTAACCTGGACTTCAAACTATCATAGTTTGATTCTTCAAAAGCCACCGGCAAGATGCATGATGTTTTCTTTTCTTCATGTTTCAGGCAAACCAAGGGTTGAATGTTAAAGAGCTATGCATAAGATCTCTTCTCGCCGGATTCTGCCTCCACTCTTATCAACAAGTGATGTTCTTACTACTTTGTATCCATTATTTATCATAGCTTCATAACTCTCAACATCCCAGCCACTGCTCAGGAATCAACTATAGGAATTGTATTTGTTTAACAGAAGAATGAAAAATATGGTAATCAACCCTTAACCAATAAAATCTATCTGCTAATAGCAAGCAGAGGTAAATCCTGTCATAGATAATGTCTACAGTAGTCTCACCGCAATCCGGGCTGAATCAGCTCCAAAGTTACGACTGAACTGCCTCTGCCATTGATTATTTTTATTTGATTTCCTTGCAGGTCTCCTACATGATATTACAGATGGTAGATCCTGTCACACATGCTGTTGGAAATTGCGTGAAGCGTGTGGTGGTCATAGTCTCATCAGTCATCTTCTTTCAAACTCCTGTGTCGCCCATAAACTCCATTGGTAAGTTTTTCTTTCTTGGTTCTAGGAGGGAGGTCCTTTAAACTACAATGCGCTATATGGTCATCTTCTTTCAAACTCCTGTGTCGCCCGTAAACTCCATTGGTGAGTTTTTCTTTCTTGGTTCAAGGAGAGAGGTCCTTTAAACTACAATGCGCTATATAGCATGATAGAGAATCCCTCCTTCACATTCCATAGTAAGTAAACTACTAGAAGATGTTTTTCTTGTTTCTTAATTCATGGACCTGCTGGTGATCTGATTAACTGCAGGAACTGCTATGTCCCTTGCTGGAGTCTTCTTGTATTCAAGAGCAAAGCGGATGAAGTCGAGGACAAAGCCCTGGAGTCTTCTTGTATTCAAGAGCAAAGTCGAAGACGCATGATAGAGAATCCCTCCTTCACATTCCATAGTAAGTAAACGACTAGAAGATATTTTTCTTGTTTCTTAATTCATGGACCTGCTGGTGATTTGATTAACTGCAGGAACTGCTATGGCCCTTGTATGTCCCTTGTTGTATTCAAGAGCAAAGCGGATGAAGTCGAGGACAAAGCCAAAGCCAAAGGGTGCATGATTTTCCTTTGGAAAAATTATCCTCAGCTTCGTGTAATTTGGCTTGTTTTACATTTATCAGCTGTCTAAAAAATCAGAGTTTCATCCTATACTTTGTACGGCGTCTAATATTTTGACACTTTAAAAAAATCAATAAAAAATATAATTATTTACAAGATTACTATTATTTTTTATTTAATAACCACATAGCACTTATATTAAATATTACAAGACGCTCTTAACTCAAACCCGTATCTTCAATAACAACAAACCAATCATCTTCATCATAATTTTTTTTCCTTGACAACATGTTATGTAGTCATTTTGCTATTAGGTCTTGCATAGAAGTTGAAGATTTAAGACTTTAAGTAATGAGTCTTTACTTTGGTTAGAGAGGGAGGTGACATTGGAGGAGGTTCAAGAGGTAGCGTGGAGTTGTGAAGTCTACAAGACTCCAGGATGAATTTAACTTTAATTTCTATGAAAAGACATGGCCATTTATTGGAGATGAGATTTTTTTTGCTGGTTTGGAAATTTTAAAAAAACTAGCAGGATTTTTAAAGGAATTAATAATGCATACATCACATTAGTTCATAAGGTTAAAAGTATTAATAAGTTCATAGATTTTAGGCCTATTAGTCTTATGAATGGGACATATATACAAGATCATTGCCAAGACCTATCCTCGTGAATTAAATATTTCATTGATGACGTGATTAGTGATACTTAGTAGGCTTTCATTTTAGGAAGGAAGATCATTAACAGCTTTCTGTTGGCTAATAAAATCATAGGTAGCATGCGAAGGCATCATGTTCAAGGCTTCCTCTTGAAAGTGGGGTTTCAAGAGTCAATGTCTTGGGATTTCATCTGCGGAATCATGGGTTCTCTGGGTTTTGAAGGCAAATGGATTTCCCGGATTCAAGAAAGTATTTCAATAGCTGATCTTTATGTTATCATCAATGACTCATCATCCAATGAGTTTCTGATGCAGAAGAAGATTCAGCAAGGGGATCTTATATCACCATTTCTGTTTAACAATGTTGCTGAAGGATTAGTGATTTTGTTTAGTCAAGAATTGGCGAGCAGGCTATATATATTCAGGAGTTCATATTTCTTCTCAACAAGTAATGCTACTTCAATGTACTAACGTTACAATGATATTTTTTCCAAATGATATGGAAGTTCTTAAGAACATTAAAATAATTCTTAAATGGTTTCATCTATGATAAGGTTGAAAATTAACTTTGAGATGTAAGTCAAGTTGTTTACCTGTAAAATTCTTGGGTCTTCCTCTAGTAGTTAATCTGAGGCTATGTTTCACTTGAAAACCATTTATGGATTAGATTAAATCTTATTTTAGGTCTTGGAAAGGCAAGATTCTTTTAATAGATAGAGAACTTTGTTTATTAAAGTTTATGTTGTCTAACCTTCCATTTTATTATATATCCTTATTTGAAGTGGTGTTTGTACAAACATCAATGGCGTGGAAGTTTTGTTTTTTTTTTTTTTGGACTTTAAAATAGAATATCAATGGTTATAGGAAATGGAAATCACATTTTATTTTGAACTTCAAAATATTTAGGTGATTATGTTCGCATGCATGGATTTGCTAGTCTTTATGTAAGATGGATCCTGGAATGACAACAATTGGACATGGTCCTTATCATGGAGAAGAAGACTATGGGATTAGGAAAAGGTACAGGAAAAGGATTTATTGCTATCAGGGGTCTCTTTAAGCCAAAATGTTAGTGATATGAAGGTATGGAGACCAAACCCAAAGGGGTTTATTTGTAAAGAGTTGCACTTTATTTTTAAGCCAATTATTTTGCCAAGGGAAAAATCATTTCTATTATATATATGGTACTATTGTGCTCCCACTAAAGGTAGATATTCATTCATAGCTTGTTATCTTTAATAAATTATCTACAAAAAACTTTCTACATCGAAGAGGAATGTTATAAGGCAATGATTTAATCTATCCCTTTTGTAAAAAGGATACAGAAACTATGAATCCTATTGTATTTGGATGTTATAATCTTGGTTGGTAGATTAGTTAGGGAAATAGAAGTGGTGTTTGTTCTTTTTTGGTATAGTTTGGTCTATTTAAAATGCTCAAAATAATTTAATTTTTAATGAGAAAGAAAAAGATTGAGATGATTTGTATTACTTTTTTCATTGAATTATAATTTAAATAAAATATAATTATGAGAGTTTATAATGAGTTAGATTTACTACGTTCATCAAATGGTATTTTTATATGAACTAATTTTAAGATAAAAATAAAAAGTGACTCATCCTAGATACTTCTTTTAACCAATATACTAAAATGAAATGTCAACGAGTTCGTTAATAGCTATCTATGACCATCAAGAATTGGTGGAGTTTTAAGATTTGTAAGAGACCATGAAGAGAATATATATATATATATATATATATATATATATATATATATATATATATATATATATATATATATATATATATATATATATATATATATTTTCTATTGCTCTACTAGTAATGTAGAGTACTCTAATGAAGATGAGATCTTGACCATTCAAAAAACACTATTTTTGAGTACTGGTTGCATCTATGCCTTTTCAAATCAATGGGTTATGGAGTTTGATCCTTGGAATGCTATTACTTGGATTGAAGGAGAAAATATCATGCGGTCATGGTGCTTACAAGGTGAATTCCATGATATTTTCACTGCATGCAATTTGCTTTTTCTATGATTTTTAAGTATGTTCCTAGAAATAAGAGTCATGTTGCGAATCATTTAGCCAAGGAATTCTTAGACAAGCTAATTTAGTTGCATGGCTATAACTTTTATTAAGAGACTTTAAAAATTTAATTATGATTAAGGGTATTATTTTGCAAGTATTTTTTTTACTAATCTAACATCTCATTTTGTTATTGGTTATAATAACTAATTTATAAAATTGTTGTAATTCATTAAAAAGAAAATGAACAATGACTACCATCCTCCCCCCCTTTTTAAGTGTGTGTATATTATATTTTTCATGTATTTGAAATATTATACTATTCATATATTTGATTAGAATTGAAGCCATGTTTTGTTCTAATAGAATGTCTATGTGATATTCCATATCGAGAGAAGAGTGTCCAGAGTCATGGCTTATTAAAGTGATGGGTAGCTAACCTTGTAGAATGCATTTTGAGGCTATGGGCTGTCAGAAACAAAACCATGAGGATGAAAGGTCCAAAACAAACAATATTCTGCAAGGAAAAGTGAGTTGGGCCTTACAATGTAACCTTTGACCCTCTTCCCTTTTTGAATGGATGATTGGATTGGTTTTGATTGCTGACAGAATTAAAAAGGGGTAAGCAGGGGCTCAGGCCCCTACAAAACATTCAATTTGTTTCATTACCTGGACAATAAACGTGAGAAGAAGGAATGAGTTTTGTTTTAAATAAGGGGGCCCTCTCCATAGTAAATATATTAGAAGAGTTTAGCTATGCTTTGTTTTAACCCCTATGTGGAAAGAAGAATATAAAGTTGCTGTCACTTTTTAAAACCATAACATAAAATAAAAGATAGATATAAGAATATAAACAGCTAGTGGAAAAGCTAAAGCAGATAATAAACTCATCGATTACTTATTTTTTCATAAAATAAAACAAGGTAATTGATTATTGATAACCTAAATTTAAAATTTATTTTTATTTTGTTTTGGGATGTTTATTAAGAATTTGATGATATATATATATATATATATGCTATTTTTGCTTCTTTTTCTCGGATCTGCTAGTTTTACCAATTGTTTTTGAATTCTTGTTATAGTGATTTTTTTTAATTAATTTGATATATTTTATAGGTATGTTTTGATTATGCTTGGATTTTTTTATGTTTTGTTTTTAGCAGAGCCACCAAAATTATCAATTTTTTCTCACGGTATATGTTTTGATTTTAGGTTGAATCATGAACAAAATAAGAAGAATTGATTTTTTTTTTTAGAAAAAGAGGAAAAATATTGATAACTTATAGCCTAGTGAATCAACTTCAATGTGTAATGTTGAAGTTATGGTTGAGCAGCCCCAATGTGCTTTAGTTTATGAAGAACCTACATTGACTAGTGAACCACCTCCTACTAGAATCGACATTGCTCATTTAATTAGAGATTCAAGCAATCATCCTTAAATTTAAAAATACCCGGTTAATCAACAAGATGAAATTCGAAAGGCATATCAATTTTTGATGTCTGAATATCTGCTGACTAGTAAAAAAAATCCTCGTCAATTTTAATTTTATTAGTTCAAAAGTTATCCATGGCTTGAATATTCAGAGAAAAATACTGCATTTTGTTTTTCTTGCTATCTATTTTCAAGTAAGTCATTTGGGAAGCCAAGATCAGACACATTTATTGTTAAATGATTCAATTGTTGGAAGAAACTTAATGATGGGGAGCGGTGTGCTTTTTTGACTCATATAAGAAAAGGTCTAAATTTAGCTCACAGATTTGCTACCAGATGCTTAAAGAATTTGAAAAATCAGTCATGTCATATTAAAAAGATAGTTAAGAGACAAACTACTCAAGAAATTCTAAATAATCAATTGCGTATTAAAGCTTCAATAAATATTGTTCGTTAGCTCACATTTCAAACATGTGCTTTTAGAAGGCATGATGAACGTTCAGAATAAAAAAATCAAGGTAATTTTCTTGAAATGATGGAACTTTTAGCATCTTACAATGAACAAATAAGAGATTTTGTTTTTTGTAATGCTCTATAAAATGCTAAATACACTTCACATCAAATTCAAAAAGAAATTTTGCATGCCTTCGCTATAAATGTTTAGTCTTCAATTCATCATGAGATTGGTGATGCAAGATTTTGTTTAATTGTTGATGAAGCTCGAGATGAATCCAGAAGAGAGCAAATGACCCTTGTTATTAGGTTTGTTGATAGAAGTGGATTTATACGAGAATAATTTTTGGATATAGTTTATATTAAAGATACAACTACTTCAACTCTTAAGGAAAAGATTTCCTTTGTTTTATCTCATCAAAATCTTGATGTTTGAAATATTAGGGGTCAAGGGTAGGATGGTGCAAGTAATATACGTGGAGAGTGGAATGGCTTGTAAGCTTTATTCATTAATGATTGCCCTTATGCATATTATATACATTGCTTAGCTCTTCAATTACAATTGGCTCTTATTGATGCAGCTAGAGAAATATCTGATATTCACACTTTGTTTCAGAATTTGATATTTATTATTAACATTGTTAGTGCTTCTTGTAAGCATAATGATGAATTACAGGCTTTTTAAGTAGCTACAATTAAACATCTAGTTGATATTGGTGAGATTGAAATGAATAAATAAGTTAATTAAGTAGGTGGTTTGCAACAACTTAGAGATAGTAGATGGAGTTCGTATTTCAAATCAATTTGTAGTTTGATAAAAATGTACAGGGTAACTTGCTTGGTTCTTGAAAATATTGCTTTAGATGAATCTACTTATTCCCAACGTAGTGATGCGATCTTTTCATTTAAGTTGTTAATGCCATTTGATTTTGCATTCTTCTTATACATAATGAAAAATATTATAGGAATTACTGATGTGCTTTGTCAAGTATTGCAACAAAAATCTTAAGACATTTTAAATGTTATGCATTTAGTGACTAGTATAAAGACTTTAATTCAAATGTTAAGAGACAATGGTTGGGAAACTCTTTTAGAAGAAGTGACATCATTTTGTAAGCATCAAAATATTGATGTTCCTAATGTGGATGCTTGTTTTTCTAGTATGGGACAATTTCATCGTAAAACAAAATCAGTAACAGTTGAGCATCACTATTGAGTTGATATATTTATAGTTATCATTGATAAGCAATTGCAAGAGCTAAATAACAGATTCAATGAACAGGTGATCGAGGTTCTTAAATTGAGAACAACTTTAGATATTAGAAATAACTATAAATTATTCAATGTTGAAGATATATGTTTACTTGTTGATAAGTTCTATCTTGAAGATTTTTCTGACCAAGAAAAAATTCATTTAAGATTTCAGTTGCAACATTATGAGCCTAATGTACTCAATCATTCAAAGTTAAAGAATATGTCATCGATTTCAGATTTATGTCAATGATTGGTTGAAACAAAAAAATCAATAATTTATCCACTTATTGACAGGTTGATTCGGCTTATCTTGACTATTCTTGTTTCGACAGCAACTACTGAACGAGCTTTCTCAGCGATAAAGATTGTTAAAACAAGATTTCACAATCAGATGAAGGATTATTTTCTTGTAAATTATTTGATTGTCTATATAGAAAAAGAAATTGCTGAAAGATTCACAATTGATATGATAATCGATGATTTCTATTATATGAAAGAACGATGAGCACAATTAAAATAAATATGTAAGAATTATTATTTATTATTTTATTTTAAAGTTTATTAAACATAAATAATGCTTTGTTTTAGTTAATGTTTCTTATATACTTTATATGTTTGTATTTATAAGTACAAAGATTATTATATATTTTGTAATACATTCTTTAAATAAAACTAAATCATGCAGTTTTTATTTTATTTATACAACTCATATATAATAAATTTAAAAAATATTATATTTTTTGGCCTCCCCTAACCAGTAATCCTAGCTTCACTCCTAGTTTTGACAAGCTTATTAATTATAATAGATCTAAAAACTATAGGTTAAACCTATCTTATGTTTGAAAACATTAAGTACAAAACTAAGGTAATTAACTCTATGTACTTGGATTCCAAAAATAAATTTTAAGGTTCTAAAAACTCGTACAAAGCTAAATTAGATATTTACGTCTTTGGTAACTCTCCATTGCAACTAGAAAACTTCTCAAAATTAGATTAGGTGTAAGTTACAAAAGAAAGATGGTCAATTGGAGCTAGGGTATAGTGATAAGGTGGTGAAAATAGGTTAAGTGAAAGCCCGATCTAGTGAAGAAAAGGTATTTTTATTATTTTCAATTGTATATATAATTATTTATAAACCTTCTAAAACAAGTTTTATTATTCAACATTCACATTTTAAAGAAATTTTACTCTATAAACAAGTAAATCCCTTTATTAACACTATCAAAATTCTCAAAAATACCGATAGAATTTTCCATTGAAATTTATACTCTCATCCTATAAGTAATAAATTTATTAACGGACTCACAAATAAAAATGCTTCATTAATATAACTCTTGTTGCTAATTTTTGGTATGTTGGTAGAAAAATTACCAATGGATTTACTAACAGAAAAGACTCATCAAATTTTTTGAACCCCTTTTAATCCGACAATATTTTCCTTGAAAATTTTACCATATAACCAATAAAAATACCATATGCAAAGCTATTAGTGATACAATAGTGGCACAATGACATTTATAGTAATTCTTTTCTAACTCTATGAAATATATTAACTTCAAACTTAATCCGTCAATAATATCGTTAGTAATTATTTTAAAAATATTATTTAAAAATAGTAAAAAATAATTAAATTAATATAAATCAACACTCAATAATACTTAGAAACCGAGTTGGTTGGCAAAAAGAAAAAGAAAATCAACTCAAATAAATTTACAACAAATAAATAACATAAAAAAAAAGTAACAAACAAATAAATCAACTAAAAAACTTTCCACCTAACCTAGAAAACCTATTTCAAAACCAATAATCCAGCAACAAATAAAATAATTTAATTGAAATTAAACAACATGATTGAAAAAAAATCCAACAAAATTAATCTCATATGAAAAAATAAATTCTAGAACAACATTCATACAATTATTAAGAACAAAAAAAAATAAAAAAATATAATGTAAAAAAACACAAAAAAGAAGAAAAATTAAAAATCTTACCTTAATATAATTGCTAGTAAAACTGAGAAAAGAAAAAAAAATCAAAATCATAAAGTATGTTAATTAATAAAAAAAAAACTAAGAAGAGAAAAGAAGAAGAGATGAAAAGCCATACCTACGCGTGAAGGATAAGAGACGAGGAGTTGAGGAGAAAATAAAAGGAAAAAAAGGATATTTTTATGAAATGAGGGATTATAATCTTTTTTATTAAGGCATTTTACTAATAGTTTTATCAATAAATAATTAAATATTAATATTTTTAATCATTCCATTAGTGATTTTATTTGTAATATTTAATTTAAAATTTTAATTTAATCAAATATTTTTAGAAACCCCTCAAATATCACTGACAACTTTTCAATCCGTCAGTGATTTTATCTGTAATATTTAATTTAAAATTTTAATTTAATTAAAAAAATTTAGAAACCCTAAAAATATCATCGATAACTTTTCAATCCGTCGGTGATTTTGGTTGTAAAGAACAGTATTTAACAGTGCAATTAAAAAGCGAAACAGTTCCAGAATTTTATAAAAAATACTGATGGAATTAATCCATCGACGATACCCTTTATAATTGATATGATAAATAGTGCTAAAAAGAAGTGAGCAATTTATCAATGAGTTTATGGAAGGTATTAATACCATCAGTATGAATGTCACATCATTGTACTTTTTGGTTTTGTTTTAATTCATTCTTTTCCAACTGTAATTATTTTGGTATATATCAAGAGAATATTTTTATTGGTGTTCATTGATGGATATAACAAGAAAATATTTTGTATGTAAAATTCACTGTAATTTACCAACAAAAAAATTTCATCAATATTTCTATTTATAGTTGTTAATTTTCTGATAGTGTAATATATGATTACCAATGATGTTTACTTGCATGGTTTTATATTTTTAAATCATATCTAGTATTAATATTTTAAAAATATCTAAAAATAAGATTATTGAATATATAGAATTTCTTAAGAGGCCTCATGTAAAATCATTTGGTTATAAAGCTTGCACTGATATAGAGACATATAACAAATAATATCTCTAGGGTCAAACCTATTAATTTCTTAGTTAGGAGCATAGATTTGAAACTCGGCCCGGTCCGGCCCGTCGAGCAGGACCAAGGCTAGAATTAGGCCGGGTTAAAGAAAAAACTCGATGTGACCCAACTGATTTGACAAGACCCAGTCAAAAACCCAATTACAATTTATTATCTTTTTTTATTAAAATAATATTATTTTGATTAAAAAAATTAACTTGAATGACCTAGTTTGAAACTCGGCCTGGTCCGGCCCATCAAGCGGGATCGAGGCTAGAATCAAGCCGGGTTAAAAAAAATGAAAAAAGAAAAAATTTAGTGTCACCCATCTAGTTTGATAAGACTCAATCAAAAACTTGATTACAATTTGTTATTTTTTTAATTAAAATAATATTATTTTGATTAAAAAAAATTGATTGAATGACCTTGTAACCTATCAAAATTCAAAATTTGGGTATTGAACCGGAGAGACCACTAAATCTGGTCTTAAACCTATAGTTCGGAGGGCTGGCTAGCTTCCCTGGCTAGTCGCACAACTTTAGTAATTTAGATTTCACGAGGGGTTTATTAAACTGTCAGACATTCCCCCCATGGTATAATGTATGGCCGCCCACTTGAATTGCCCAAATAAAATGAAATGTGTTGACATGAATCAACGCATACTTGTTCTCCATCCTTGTCCATTCATGTGAAGAGAGAATGCTTCTTCTTACACTGATGGTTTTTAGACTTTTAGCATGTATATTCCACGAATTTGAAGCTTGTTAACTTTATGAAATGACCTAAAGGAAATATATATATATATATATATATATATATATATATATATATATATAAGAACACATATATCCACTACAAATTAGTCCATGAACTTTCCTAATTCCAAATAAGTTGGGGGAAACAAGCCTAAAAGCATTGCTGGTGCAGGGAAGAAAACAAGCATTGAAAGCATTCCGCTAGAAAAACTTAATTACACAATCATGACCATGAAGATTTTCGCGAAGAAGTCTCTTCGCATGCAGCTGACAGCAATTAGAAGAAAAGCTTAGTGACTAATTCCTTGGGTGATCATCTCTAGCAAATCCATCTCCTTCTTCACCTCAGCACCCTTCATCAAACTATCCAATCCCGATATCTCAAACTCCATATTGCTCTCATCAACCACGTAGCTGCAAGGCATCTCTTGCAGGAAGGACATAAACCCGTAACTATCATGAAACAAGTTTGTGTCAAAAGATAACCTGGATGCATCGTTGTTATGGTCATGTCCATCTGGGATTTCCAAATCTGTGTTGGATGAACCTGGGCTCTCGTTTTGGTTAGGTGAATTGGAGTTAACGTCCTCAGTTTTCTCTTCCTCGTTATTTTCTTGAGTAGATGAGGATGAAGTCACCATCATAATGTAGCTTTGCAAGAGGGTGCTTTTAGAATCCATGTCCTTTCCAGATTCACGCCTTGAAAATTGCCTTCTCTTGGTCGCATTCCAGTGATTCTTTATGGTGTTCTCTGTCCTTCCAGGTAATCTCTTGGCAATCTCGGCCCATCTATTTCCAATCTCTTTGTGGGCCTTGATTAGTAGCTCATCCTCCTCCTCACTCCATGCATCTTTCTGCATGTTGGATGAATTATATATTGATATGATAGTACTATTATGCATATTGTGGTGCTTAGAAGGAAGACAAAGCAATGTCAAGTATTGGAAGGAATGTTTATGCCTTTCTGTCCAGATAGAATTAAAATCACAGAGCTTCATTCAAGCACAAGCATGGCCACATACATGTAATCGATCAAATGCATAGAACCAAGCTAGGGTTATAGCTACAAACATATATTCAAATTAATGGAGAAATCAAAGCAAGTAGAGAAACTAATTAACCATGCATGTGAGGGTAGTCATCTAAAGTTGAGTTTCATAATAATTTTCTTAATTACAGATATGTTCTAAAGACTAAAACCGAAGCTATATCACGCATCATTCCTCTATTAATATACCACCTATTTTTTATGTAATTCTCTAGAATTTAAGATGGTTTTAACATATATATATATATATTTTTTTTAAAGGGTGGCGAGCATCACTCGTTATCCTCCAGATAAGATCTGTTTCAGTAAGTTCTAATCCAGCTTGACGCTCAGTCATCATGCATGTCGATGCGTTGTCACTACTTCCTTAGTAGACCAAATATGAGATTTTATGATTTATTCTCGTGGGATGTTGGTGGCAAGATAATTAAAATAAAACGTTAGAATTGCCTTTCATAAATATACCACCTTTTTTCTCATTATTTCTCCAAAAATGGAAGGTAATTTCAACATTTTTTTATCCAAAAATGGAAGGTAATTTCAACATTTAAAAAAAAAAAAAAACAGTAATAGTAACAGTAGCATTACTCATTATCCTTTATGTAAGATTTGCTTCGACGAGTTATTATGTGTGACAACTCATGACACTCAGTAACTATGCATGTCAATGCGTTAACACAACTTTAATAGCGAACCAAATTTGAAATTGTATGCTATAACAACAAGGACCTTAAAGCAAGATGGAGAGATTGTATTTTATAAATATAACAACTTTTTTCTCGATAATTCTATAAAATCGAAGGTAAATTCAGCGTTTTGTCTATAAGAAAAGTATGTATATACTATGTGAATTTAGTATGTGCATAAATGTAGTTATATATATTGCTATTAATTGGCCATGTATAAGGAAGGTAATACATTCATATCTATAGCTACCAAGAGATAAGAGGGGAGAAAATGGATGAAAAGGGCGGAGAAACCTTGATGTCTGGCCTCAAATGGTTATGCCATCTCTCTCTACACTGCTTCCCTACTCTGCCCTCCAGCATCTTTGCAATTTGAGACCATTTCTTTATTCCATACTGCTTCACCGATTGCACTAATAGTCTACCATTAGAGATTCACAAAGTCAGTTCCTTCTAGCTCGAGTACTGATAACAGATAGCAGACATGTGCAAGAACCCTAATTCATAAGCAGTGAAAAGAAACAGCAAGAGAAAGTGAGAATCCTATCTACCTGTCTTCTTGAGGAGTCCATTGGCCTTTGATAACTTGAGATTTCTTATGAACCTTGGAGTCTTTTCCCAGTAGCAACTTCTTGGCCTTCCTATGATGATTAACTTGCTTGTGATGCTTAGAATCTTCAGTACTCCCACATGAGACCTCATCTGTGGATACCCCATTGTTAGCTGTCCTCGTCCGTCCGATTTCTTCAAACCCGCGTTGCTCCTTCATCTCCTTTTGATTCAAGGAGCGAGCTCCGGATATTTTCTGATAATCATGATCCCGAACTGGTCCTCTTTGCAAGCCATGCAATAGCCTATCTCCACAACCTGCAGGCAACAAAGGTACTACTGTGGGTGTATAAGCATTGAGATCATGACTAGAGAAGCCACTTGCCAAGGAATCAAGGCGAGCCAGGTCAATGCATGTTCCTGAAATTCCAGAAAACGGATTCTGCGAGGAGCCTTCAGTGGTAAAATGATCAAGATCAAGATAGGGGGGAATGATATTGGTGGGGTGGCCATAGCCAAGATGGTGAAAATTGTAAAAAAGGCCCTTGGAAGAGAAAGCCTCTTCAAGGGAAAAGTCATTAGTTCCCTCTGGATTGAAGTTGTGTTCAGAGAGAAGGCTTGAAAGGAAAGGAAATTCATCTCTCAGCATTGTATTAAGCTTCATGCAGTAGAGAGGGTAGCCACTAGCCAGGGCCCTAGAGAGAATAGAAACGAGAGAGAGAGAGAGAGAGAGCAATAGGAAGGGAGGCTGGTTTCGTGTTGATTTCTAGGGGCTTTATTGGTGAAATGAGAGAGGGTTGGTGTACACTTGGCTGATTTCTAGCCTTTGATGATACTACATTCAAGGGTTAATATTTCTTCTTGTTAGTGACTGTTTAGCTCTCCTTTTCTATTGCTATCGGTGAGATTTATTTATTTATTTTGTGAGATTATTTGTTGTTTTATTTTGTTTTGCAATATTGATAATCACCATGTCTTCATAAGGTTTGTATCCTAGGAAAATCCTTTGAAGGACACGTGGCATCCATGTAAGGCCCTTTCGTTTCTTCTAAAATCCAGTTTATATAATTTTGCAAGTAAATAAATCATAGTTCAATTCATCAATTGTCTGAACACACACGTATGTATGTATGTATGTATGCATGCATGTATGATTTCATTTGCTTACAATTTGGTATGAGGTTTAAGGCCTTGCCCTGATGGTAAGTTAGTGAGTGCACTTACCATCTATATGGCGTGGACAATCCTTCGGCCATTAATTTTTATTTATTTATTTTTAATTTTTGCTAACAATTCTTGCCTTAAATGTTATTATCTTAGTCATTAGAAAAGAGAGTCAATAATTGCTAATTGGAAATGATCAACTTAGAGACATTGTTTTGTTTAATATTACTTGATATTTGCTGATTAAAGAAGAAGAAAGGACTGAGCTTGCTTACTTGACCTTTCTTGACATGACTTGTTACATCTCATTTATAGTCTTTCTAGCTCCCGGAGTCCCGTTTGTACTTATATTTTAAAATGTTTTGTCTCATCTTAAATTAAATTTTTTAAGTGTTTTCAGATGGGTTTTTATATACTAATATTAAAAATAATTTTTTAAAAATAAATATTATTTTAATAAATTTTAAAGAAACTGTTTGAATGATAAAACTATTTGTGGGGGAGGCGACAGCAAAAGGAACCTCCTTCTGTAACCGAATACTTAATGCCTTTCCTAGTTAGCTTCTATTGGAATCACTCGCCATTCAATGTCTTATTAAAGGTGAGCCTAATCTTTGGTCATGTAAAGGCATATAACTATTTTGGTTTTTCTGTGGTTAATGCCCTAAGTTTTAGCTTAATTATGCCAGGATTTATCACTCCATGTTGACTCCTGCTCAAGAAGACTAGTAATTTTTAACATTTTCATTACCTCTAGCCCTTCAAAGGCATTTAAGTTTAGCTTTCATTGCCCTCGGCGGCTCTTTTGAAAAAGGATCCGTTGAGACAAACCAATTTCAGTCCTCGAACGAACTATGATTCTTTTCATGGACAAAACTGAATGAGTTGAGAGATTTTATTATGGAGGGGAAGGAGACAATGGACATCCAAGAGCATGAACTGAGATGATTTTCTCAAATGAGCGTTTCATTTTTGAAACTCCAGCAAGAAATTAATAATGATTCTGCTGATCATTCCTAGTCAAGCACATAGACGACATTAAGAACACAGAAATCAAGGATTGCTGTTCAAATACTTTCCACCAAACGCTCAAGAGGATTTAACTAAAAGGATTATGGTTGCAGAGTTATACAGAAAATACATTATAAAATTTATAGCTTGTTATGTTACATGCATTTAAACAGAATCTCTGAGAAAGGGACTTCCGGTTAAAGTTTTTCATTGTTCAGAATTAAGGGGCACATCCACCAAAAATCAACTACCCACCTTTATTCCCCTTGTTATGGCTACGATTCCTCTGGCCCTCAGCAGCTGCACCAAAAGGAACCGTACAAAACAAAACAAAACGGACCGCATCAGCAAAACCATCATCAAGGAGGAGGTATCATGCCATCTTCATCGGCTGGGATCATTCCTTCCTCCTCTTCTTCTCCAACATAAGAACGAGGCCCAGCATTAAATCCTCTATCATGTCCACTGCTCGGTGATCTCCCCCGCTCCTGCAGGGCATGGTAAGAGGATGACCGACTTTGTTCGATCATTTCCTTGTGGAAACTCCCACCACTACCATGATAAGGGGATCGAGACCTCTCACGGTGGACTTGACGTGGTGGGGATGCCCGACCCCTTTCCATTATTGCCTTGTGAAAACTGCTACCACCACCACCACCACCACCAGGTGATCGAGACCTCTCGTGCTGAATTTGAACAGGGATGGAAGCCCGACCCTTTTCCATCATTGCCTGGTGAAAACTGCGCACTGGTGGAGCCCTGTCATGCCTGTCCGGGCTCCGACTACGGCTTTTATCACGGTTCCAACCTTTACTGCGATCACCCCAACCTGATCCCTTGTCAGGGCTCCGATTGTGATTGTGGCCTTTATCATGTCCATCACCGTATCCCCGATCATACCTGCCCACAAGTATCGGAGGCATTTCCTACCGTTACAACACTAGGAACAGCAGTAATAGCTTGGAATTCATTTGCATCTTCACAAATTCAACTTTAAACCCAAATAAAGTACATAAAACATTTCTTATGATAGCAAAACGCAAAGGTCATTTATTAAAACCATGAAGAACCTAAATGCAAAAAAACAGATTGCCATGGAGTTGAAAGGAGAAAAAAAAAGGCTACAGCAAAAGACAAAAAAAAAAAAAACAATGATACAGTCATTATTAGTACAATGGAATAACTTAAATAAAAGAAATGCTGTGTTGGATGCAACAAGTTCCCATTTCTGTGCAAACAAACCAAAATCACTTCATACTTCCAAGGAAACCCAAATGAAAATAAGATATTTAAAGTTATGAATAATTCAAATTAGCCAATGTACCTGTCCCGTGACTCATGGTCATTTCCACGGCCTCCACCTCTTTCTGGTCTGCTAGAAGAGTTGGACATTCCCCAACTACCTCTTCCACCATAACCAAAATCACTGCGTCCACTGCGCCCCCCATCATGACCACCAGAGCCAGAGCCCCATCGTCTAAACCTTCCCATCCCCCCACCACCACGTGAAGCCATATCACGTATCTCTGGAGGGACCTGCTGATTTGCTCCTTCCAGAACTTTGATGAGATCTGAAGCATGCTTTGCATCCTGGTCACCAAAGAATGTGTAGGCCACTCCAGTGGCCCCTGCCCTCCCAGTTCTCCCAATCCTATGAACATAATCTTCCACTCCAGTAGGGAAGTCATAATTGATAACCACTCTGAAACAAATTCAAAACTAATTATTACCATAGTGATTTATCTTGTCAACTCAGACAAGAAAATCAGTAAATGTGAAAAAGTATGTATGACATCAATGAAGTGTGGACAACTCATAACATACTCCTCTAAGTTCATCATCCAAACATTAGTTGGTATCAAAAATCCAAATGACAGTGATGGAATTGAAATATAAAAAGCTTCTGCATGAGCAAAAAACTGGTAGCCATTGCACAAATGGGCACACAATGGGATGCAGAAGACACGTACTTCCAAATAAAGACTTGAAACTCCTAGAATTCTCATTTAGCTATGTAAGTGATGCAAATAAAGATGTCCAAAGCTTCGTCTAATGAAAATCTTTCCGAACACTTTTTTCAGAAAGTTCTACAAATCATTGCATAAATTTATCAGGTATATCCATTAAAACTTAAGTTGCTTTCTGATTAATTCAATGCAGGAATACTAAGGCTCACTTTGTTTGCCAGAAAACCAACTGATTTTGGAAACAAATTCCATGGAAATTATTATGAGAAAACAAAATATCCATGATGTTTGGCTATGTTATAGGAAAACTGCTGGACAATGTTTTCCAGTATGTGGCATGAACCGGAAATCGACTTCATATTACCTTTTTTTAATAATAAAATTGGTATAACAAACTATCTTTTTTAATGATAATAACTTAAATACAATTTTTTTGCAGGTTCTTCAAGCTACTGGATATGCTTTCTCTTTGTGGAGGGGAAAACAAATCCCCCCAAACAAAGCATAATTTTTCAATTTCTGGAAAACATTCCTTTGACTGGTTTTCCTAAGTTGCACGAAACATGGAAAACTAAAAATGTTTTTCAAATAAACATAGCCTAGGAGAAAAAAAGGTAAATTTTTCAAAATTTGCAGACATCCCAAAGAAATACAGCATGCAGCCGGATCAGAAATCAAGATATTATAACTGTATTGTATACAATTTCCCTGAAGCTAAATAACTTAAAAATTAATAAGAACACGGCGTGTAATCAATACAAACATTATAGCTACAATATATAGGGACAGTCCCTAACCTGATATCTTTAATGTCTAGTCCTCGAGCAGCTACATCAGTAGCTACAAGTATTGGAGACCTCCCAGTTCGGAACTGACTCAGAACATAATCCCTCTCGCTCTGAGATTTGTCACCATGAATAGCAGCAGCTCCAAATTGACGAGTTAGGTTGCGAGCAAGTTGGTCACACATCTTCTTGGTTGAACAAAAAATAATAATCTTTGATCCAGATTCTTGTGACCGCAATATCTGCTCTAACCGTCTATGCTTTTCTAAGGGTGCCAATAATTCAACATACTGAAAGAGCATAACACATACAAGTTATTCAACCAAACAAATGCTTATGAATATACTCTTGCCCTCAAGTTACACTGAAATGCAAGGAAGTTTAAAAGGACAAAACATCTAATCTATTTGTTGAAAGTCCAAATTTACTTTGGGCTGCATCAGAACAGAAAAAGTAGAGTTCAGACCTGTGTGATTGACTTGTTTGCCACAAGCTCATCTACGTTGCCAATATTAACCTGAACAGGATTGACAAGAAGATCTGCTGCAATTTTTCTAACTTCCTTTGGCCAAGTTGCTGTGTACATGAGGGTCTGGCGACGAGCAGGCACCTCCTTTACAATCTTTCGTATCTGGGGTTCAAATCCCATGTCCAACATGTGATCAGCCTCATCTAATACAAGGTATTTAACCTGATTGAGGCTAACTCTCCTCATTTCAAGAATGTCATTCAAGCGACCAGGAGTGGCAACCACAATATCTGCTCCTCTGTCTAGTTCTTTTAACTGGGGACCCTTTGGGGCTCCTCCATACAAGCACTGAAACACAACATATCATAGAAAACATGAGTAACATCACAAAAAGGCATTAATAAAGAAAAAACTCCAGTATATTAATAAATAGATTAACAAATAATTTTGGACCAGAAAATACACATACATGTGAACAGATCTACATAACACATGCATATTAAACCATGAATAGCATACCGTGCAGGAAAATCTTGATGACTTTCCAAACTTCACAGCTTCAACTTGTATCTGTGTTGCCAGTTCTCTTGTTGGTGACAGTACCAGCACTGTTGGACCCAGTCGAGGGTCATTACAGCTGCGCTTGAGATGGATAAAGCCTGGAATTAGGTAACCTAGTGTTTTACCCGAACCAGTCTTGGCAACGGCCACTATATCTCTACTTTGCAATGCGATCGGCCATGATTGTGCCTGAATTGGAGTTGGGGCAGAAAACCCTGCATTGAGTACCTGGAAAAAGCAAAAACCCAGCAAGGCCCATAAGCTGAGGTACTGGCTTCAAGACTCTGGTCGATTTTCTTTGGACTTATAGAGTGGCGAATGGCAGAAGAAGCATCATCCCCCCTATGCAGTCGGCAAATGCTTGCTGATGCAAGCTCGAGCAGGAGGAGGCCTCTTCTTCCGTTCGGACCATGTGGTAGACTATAACATCACCAATGACAGTCCCAGCCACGAACTTGGGCGATTCAGAAAACCCTCCCAAAAAAATGGTCCACCATATAAGGGCGCTCCAAATTATATGCAAGGCCCCAAAGGGAGGGCAGCACAGCGTACGACATTAGCTCCTCGCAGGAGCAAATATCGCACCTGCGACAAAAAGTACAGAGGGCAAAAGCATTAACGAGTCTGAAACTCAACATTGGACCTCCATCAATCACATAACTTAGCATGAGAAACACTTTTCATGGTTTTTCTAACTTACAAGAGCTCCACGCCTCAGGTTCTCTATACACATAGAGAATAAGGAACTATAAACGCATACCTCTTTTAAAATCTCAGAAGGAAAGCCAGTAGCTTCGAATGATGTTAGAGGAGAGGGCACTTCATCACCCTGTGAATAGTTATCAGGGAAGATTTTAACATCTTATCTAATGAACCACTACAAAGTTAATATAAACAAGGACTACATGCAGGTTCTAAACCACTCATGCTCTCACAGATTAATTTCACAAAAATAATTATGTAGCAAATAGGCTAATCTATTTTTAAATGCAAACATCAAACATTCCTATAGGAATGTCCACTAAAAAAAAAAAAGCATGTCCGGTGTTAGGGGAGTGAAGCAGGGAAGAAAGAGAGAGATTAGGCGATTAGGCTAATAGAGGGAATATTCAGCAAGTTCTGGTCCCTGTCATTACTGGCAATGGATTAGTATGACGATTCTGATCCAAAATTCTCACAGCAATGTTCTATGGAGAACATCTGAAATTAACTCAATGTTCAGATTTAACAAGCTGCTTGATCAGAGATATTTGCATAAAAATAAGTTCAAATGTGCCTGAGAACATGCTTATTCATAAATTTACAAGAAAAAGTAACAAAGATTCACAGTCTGTCCCATAAGATGGACAGGTAAAAATGCCACGCATAAACAGCACACCACATGTAAGAAGCACCAAAACAAAACTCATTCAAGGAAATCCATGAACTCACAGTGACAGTTATTTCATGGCGGCGGCGATAAGCCTCTCCAGACAAACCACTTCCTCCAGCTGATGATCCATATACCCGAGCAGAGAGTCCATTGGCTGTTCCATTTGGGACATTTTCAGATTGAATTGCTGCACCTCTTGCATTCTAAGAAAATTCAGGACATCACATCAGATCACCCCAAAACAAAATTGCATCTTGGTGAGGATCTATATGCAGGAAAGCTTAAACAGACAATTCATTACTACCACACATTCACATTCTTTAGGGTTTGAAATCATATATCAACATTATCGTAACTTTGATGGCAATCCATACCTGATTACTATTGCTAATACTCCTGGTTACAGCATCAGGTTTTGATCCAGCATTGTTGGCTCTTCCATACCTATCATCTTCCTTAACCGAGGGATTATACCCCCGATGAGAAGACTGGTGAACTTGAACAGAAGAAGTAATGGGTAGTGACGAAACAGACTTCGGCAGAGTGGGCCTCTCATACTGAGTAACATTGGTCTCTGGATTCCAAAAATAAAGGTAACCGGTTTTACCATCTACCAAACCTCTCCATGGTTTCGGGAGAGTCGGGTCCTCCGGTGCATACCGTGGACCCACGGAAGACGCAGTCGCTGTAGCAGCCATTTTAATCAAAACCCTAAAATAATTACCCCAATAAGCTTAAATGAGTAAAACAAATAAATTAAAAAAACCCTATAAAATTAATCAGAAAAAAGAAAGAAATGAAAAGGCAGATCTAATTATTTAATACAAGTATTTTCTCAGCGATCAAACAGGTTACAGAGACCCTTGATTCTATACTTTCTAAGATCAAACAGATTCAGATCTGATATTAGAAATAACAATAATAATTTTGGACCATAGAAGAGAAAATAGTACCTGACGGCGTCGTTGCAAAGAGAAAAGAGGAATGCTGCGGTTCTTTCTCTCTCCCACCCTCTCTGAATGTTTTAGATGCTTTTTAGAGAGAGGAGTGTTGAGAGACGAAAGAGGGAGGCACCTACCGCGGAGCGTGTATTTATAGAATATGGCAGCAATGCGAAGCAGATATTATTACCTATTTTGGCGTAAATTATTATTCTTGGTCTCTAAGTTTTCAAACCATTATAACTTAGTCCTTCTTGTTTGGAACCCTTGACATTAGTCCCTTTGTTGTCCTTTTTTCCTAAACTAATGAAATAAATAAACGAGTGAATTAATTAAATAAATTAAATTAAATTTTTAAGAAAAAACAGTGTAGATGAATCACTGTTCCTGTGATCTTTATTATAGAGTAAATATCATGGATTGTAATTTTAACTCTTTTTTTTTCTGTTTTTTTTATATATATTAACTTTATTGTCTAGAAATTTGGACTTAGTAATTTGTTTCTATTTTTATTTTATTTTTTCACCATTTTATATTAAAAAAAAACATGTTGGCATTAAGTTAATGCTTGATTTTTCATAGAAGAGTTTAATTTTATTATTTATAAAACATTAGGGCATAGGGAGACCATAATTGAAAATGGTTGAGAAATGCTCCCTTTTTTCTGCTCATTTACTATTCATCCGGCGCAATTTTTACAAAAATATGTCTTGAGATTTTTTTAAAATTTTATTTTTTAAAATAAAAAATTATGTTTTCATCCCAAATTAATTTTATTCAAAGTTTAGAGAAAGGAAATAGTTAGAAAACAGAAGAAATAAGAAAAAGTTATTGGCTATCCATGTTCTAGCAATAAAAAAACTAGTTTTTGATGTTAATTAGTTTGATTTAATAATAGAAGTTCTATTAAGTTTTTTATATTAATAGGTTTCATTTAATAATAAAAGTTTTATTAAGGTGTTTTTTTTATATTTGATCTTGTTGGAAAAATTAGATTAGAGTTGATAAAGAAAAAAAATTATTTAATTTTATATTTTTGGACCCATTTAGGAGTGTTTTAGGTTGAGAAATTAGTTTATTAATATATAAATGTGGGTTTCTTTTTTGTTAAAATAGATTGGAAAATGAGTTTTCGGATTGAAAACCTCATAACTCAATTTATTTACCACTTATAATAGAGATGACATATCGTCTGTTTCTTTAAAGTAAATATAAAAAAACAAAAGATTGAACAACATGTTGTCTTGCCTTTAACATACAAAAAAAGAAGAAAGAAACATGGCCTCCTGCTTTTTGGGCCATGCTAGCTCATTTAGAGCTAAGAAACATGGCCTCCTGCTTTTTGGGCCAAGCATGCTAGCTCATTTAGAGCCATAAAAGTTTTTTTTTTATTAAAATCATAGCCTTTATTTTTTATACTTGCAAGTGTTTTTTTATACAACTTTTTATAATGTTTTTTTAATAAAAATTCATTTGATTACTTATGTATACCTATTTTTATTATTGTGTAATTGAATAAATAAATGATTTTAAAAAAAAAAGTTAAACTCAATTAGGTCATGTACTTGACGAGTTAACTTGAGTTGATCCAAAAACATTATCATTTCAGTATTTAAGAATTAATGTTACAACGTTGTTGCCTTAAAGAAAAATATTAAGTAAAATTAGGTTTTGCTTAGTTAAATGAGTCGTACTTTGACTTGTTTAGTCAATCAGGTCATATAAAATTGACTTCAACCTGATATAGTTTAAAACCCAAGTTAGGTATGGCCCAAACAAGCAAGTCTTTAGTTTTCATTGAAATTGATTAAAACTTATAATATCTACAAAGACTTTTATTTTTACATTAGAAATTAACTTTTGAATCGATATGTTCTTGCTAGTTATGACTCAACTCCATTTCTCATGTGCTTTTGTGGATTTTATCTTTGATATAATCAAATAAGATTCCAATTATCAAACATAAATCATGGAATTCTAGCTAATAAATGCCAAACTTGGTGGAATCAGACTTGGACTACACATAAAATATCACCATTATCAGCTAACCATTCCTTTAGGGTTTTTATTTACATGTGTGTGCATATGTGTCTAGTATGTAACACATTATCATATAAAAGAAATTGCATATATGAAAATACAATAAGAAAAAAAATATATTTTCAAGTGGTTGATCAATAATGAACCACAAGATGGTGGTGTGTTAACTAGTCCAATAAAAAGCCTTCGGTCTTGTTCTTCTACTGATGATGGTTATATATCTCAAAGCCAACCAATAAAGGAAATCAGTGTTGACAAAGTTTGGTTATACCCTTCAATTTTTTGGATTTTTTTGCTACTAATGGTGGAATTAGTGATCGGGACACCACAAGTTTTGATTGGGAAGGGATGGTGTTTCTTTCTCAAGTGGTTATGAGGAGAATAATGGTTGGACAATAGAGAAATGGTGTTTTGTTTCATTATTAGTGAGAAAGAAAAAAAAGAGACATGTGCTAAGCTAAGGTATGGTGTGAGTCATAGTATGTTTATGAGCTTGTTTAGTTTGATGGTTCAAATATTTTCTGATTTGATCTAGCAATCCATGTCTCAATGGTTTTAAATTGAATCTATAGTTGTGATTTGTTTAGGTTGTGTTTGGTATGGGTAAGTGATTAGTACTTAAAAGTGTATTTTTATCAAGGTTTTATATCATCATTTTGCACTTGAAGTATCAATAACTCCTTAACTAAAGCATGTTTTATAATAACAAGTCTAATACCATAACATACCTTTAATTTATGGTAAATATTTATCCTAAATATAGACCTATCACATAAATAAAAGGATTGATTAATAAGTTGAAGTATTGAAATTGAAAGGACAAAGAGAAGGTGAAGTTTAGAAAAGAAATGCTGGTTAAGTCCAAACATTAATCTTTTCTAAGTTTGGTCATGTCTTTTTTCTTTCAATTTCAATTCTTAAACTCATCAATCAATCCTTTCATTTATGTGATAGGCCTGCATTTAAAATGAACATTTACCATAAATTAAAGGTATCTTATATTATTACATATGTTATTATAAAACATGCTTTAGTTAAGGAGTTATTGATACTTCAAATGCAAAATGATAATATAAAACCTTGATAAAAATGCATTTTTAAGTATTAATTAGCTTGTTATATAGGTTGAGGAAAAAAACTTAATGAAATCAAACATTGCATTAACTATGTATTAGTATCTGCAACCCGAGTTACTAAGCTCGTAAGGGTGTCTCAACATCTAATGCCCTCAAACCAACTGGTCTGGGAGTTATTAATCGAAAGCTTGTTACATGAGTTAAAGATGCATTGTGTTATATATATTAAAAAAATATAAATAAAAAAATGGTTTTAGGTCATTTTGATGGGAAACTTGATATGACTGTAAAAAGATAAGTTTGACATCGATAAATCAATTTTGACATGGTAAACTTGGTTTTGATCATAAAATGATAAAATTGTTTAATTTTAATGAGACACCTAATTTTCATTGTAAAATGACATATTTGACCTCAATAATCTAATTTTGACCAATTTTTATGCAAAAAACTTGGTTTTAATCGTAAAATGATGGTTTTGGCCCATGTTTGATAGAAAATTCAATTTTGAGAGCTCTGTTTTTCCCTTGAAAAAAATTATTTTTGCCGGAATATCTTTTTTGATCTGGAAACATTGTTTTTTATTTCTTTTTTTGTGACAAGGCCATAATGGGTTAAGACACCCACAATAGAGCATAGGTAGTTAATTGTGGATTGTAACAGAAATTCTCCTTTTTTTTTCTTTAATTTTTTTCTACTCTGGTTATCTAACTTTTTACTTTCAATTTCATCCATTCACATACAGTTGAGCTTGATATTTTATTTCCCTGTGCTTCCTACTAAGTTATCATAAGCTAAAAAAATCCAATATTAGATTGATGCTCGACTTTACAAGAAAAGGATTTGATTTTATTGTTTACAAAAATGAAAATAAAAGGAGTAGAATTGAAAGTGGATGAAAAATGGGTATGTGTGTGTGTGTGATCATTATATATATATACCCATCATTATTCATTCATCCCTTTTTTAGGGTAGGATGCCTTGAGTTTTTTCTCAAATTCTATTTTGATCTATTTACTTTGAAAATTATACATTTTGGTCTAAAACTTTATTTTGTTCATGTTTAGATCTCTGACTAAAGATCATTGAGAAACAAGGGAGGATAAAGAATGTCATTGGTTATCTATATTATAATAACAAAAAACCTATCCTAGGTGTCAACAGGTTTAATTAGATGAGGTAAGATTTATTTAGATGTTTTTTCATCTTCATATTGCTAGAAAGGATAGATAAGTGTTGAGAACAAAAAATCTTTTTCAATTTAGTTTTGTGAACCATTTTAGGTTGAGGAATTGATTTGTTGACATTCTAAAGGTGCTTCTTTGGTGTTTTTAGGTTCATATAGCTTAGAAAATGACTTTTGATTAGAAGAGCTTTGTCTCAATTTTCTAGCCACCACCCTACAAAGATCGGATATCTTAACATGTATTTCTTTCACAAATTTATTACTTACTCTTTAGTTAGTGCCAACAACTCTTTTCAACAATTATAGGTGCATATAATCTTCAATTTATTTTATTAAACCTATACATCAAATTTTTTTTCTTTGTAATTAATTTTTTAATCTAGAAAACATATGATCAATGCCTAAATATTTGTTTTTTAACATTCAATTTTTTTGTTCGTCCCACAATGGAGCAAAAGCCATTAATTAAAATAAAATAAGAGAGGTGGTGAATTTATTATTCACCTTCTTATAAAGCACTATTTACTAGAAAAATACTTTATTTTTTTAATTTTATTTTCATCTTTCAATATAGGATTGTTGAGGATTGGGGTTCATAATTTTTCTAATTTATTTTTATATGATTATCTCTATCTCATAACTCGATTCACAGGTCTATAAGGTCAGCTTAGGTTAGCTCAAGTTATTTTTTTTATCCCTTCTTTTATTGATTTATTTTTCAATATCATCCTTAAACATAGGGTTGCTTTGAAATTAGGCTTCTTAATTTTTTTGATTTACTTTCTATTGCATTATCTTAGTTTTATAACTCGAATCGTGGATTTTTCAAGTTAACTTGGGT